GGATAGCTTCGACTTTGTTGCGAGGCTTCGTGATAGTCCGGTCCCTCTCAATGCACACATGTGTTCCTTCGATGTTGTAAGTCTCTTTACGAATGTTCCTATTGATGAGACTGTTGACATCTGTATGGATGTATTGTACCGTAACGATGATGTTGATACTCCATGGGTATCGGAAGCGGCGTTTCGTCATTATTTTGATGCTGTCAGTTACAACTGGTGTCGAATTTTCATTCAACGATGTGATGTACAAGCAAGTGGATGGTGTGGCGATGGGATCTCCTCTTGGTCCCGTCCTCGCCAATATATTCGTTGGTTATTGTGAGTGCAAGATTGATGAGTCGCTTTGGCCCGCGTTCTACGTGCGTTTTGTTAACGATTCGTTCACGCATTTTGACAGTGTTGAGAGCAGTGAATTTGTTTCTCGATGTGCTCAACAGCCTACATCCTTCCCTCCGCTTTACTTGTGAGCACGAGCAGTCTAGTAAGTTGTCATTTCTAGACGTGCTTGTAGAGAAGACTGGCTGTGAAATGTTGACTTCTGTGTATCGTAAGCCTACGTTCACTGGTCAGTACATTGCCTTCGATTCATATTGTTCGTCTCAATACAAGGTCAACTTAGTTCGTAACCTCGTGGACCGTGCGCAACGTATTTGTTCGCCCAGTAAGCTGCAGGCCGAGCTCGATTTTCTTCGATCTGTTTTCTTGAAGAATGGCTATCCGGAATTCTTGTTGCGTAAGTTTCTGTCCATAGAGCAGAAACCGAAATCGGTGCTGATTGGTCCACCTCGCTGTCCCGTCTATCTATGTTTGCCATGGAAGGGGCAGGAATCGATCAAAGTGTGTCGCGAAGTCAAGTCTATCGTCCGTCGTACTTATTATGCAGTACATTTTGTGCCAGTCTTCACAACAATGCGTGCGTTCACGGTGCGGAAGGACGTCCTACCAACCCTCCACCTCAGTCATGTTATCTACAACTTCGAATGCCGACATTGTGCTAGTCGGTATGTTGGTAGGACTGTTCAGCACCTGAACGCACGTATCAAACAACACACTCCACTTCACATCCTTCCACCCAGTGCGCAATCTGAGAGGCCCAAACGCGGGAGGCCTAGGAAAAACCCATCACCTACACGGCAGGATAGTTCCCTGCCGCTGTCTGCCGCTCCCCCTCTGACATCTGTGTTGGACGGGCTTGAGCTTGGCAGCTCTTTGGAGGTGCGTGCGGAACCGCCACTGGTGCAGCCCTCGGGTGTGCCTAAGTCTGTGCCTCTGGGTGCTTTGCATGGGGCTGTGCCTCGAGTGGTGACAGCACCTCTGCCTCCCCCTGACCCTCCTCCTTCGAGGTATGTGTTGGTGGAGAGCACCCGCGGCGGTCGATTTGTCCCACCGGAACTAGAGCTGGATTCAACAAAAAGACCAACAAACATGGCTGCAACAACAACACCAGCTTCACATCCAACAACAACACCAGGTTCACATTCAACAACAACAACAACAACTAATCCACAAAACAAAGCAGCAAATGACAGACCACGGAGATCTACAGCAGATTACAACCGGACCTATGAATTCACGGTAAAAATACAAAGGAAACAATCGGAAAGGACGACGACTGACATGAAGGCAACGGCATTCACGGTTGGCGTGGGTGGTGAAGGTGAGACGCAGGACGATGCAAGTGAGGAGGAGAGTCGAACCGCTGTGGATGACGGAGCAGGTTCTGATTCGGACAGTGAGGGAGAAGGTGAGCTGAGTGAGGGTGAGAGTGAGTGTCAGGGTGTGCGCGTGAGTCGAGATTGTGTGCGTCCGTCTCGTAATAAGTCTTCAGTATACAATCATTTGGTTTCTAGTACTGACTGTTGTCGTACTTATTCTGATTCCTGTTTTTCTGTTTTGTGCCGTGCTCGTCATGGTTATCTTTTGCAGTTACAAGTTTTGGAAGCTGTTTGTCAGCGCATTCATAAGCCGAATTTGTGTGTCCAGAAAGATAGTGTTATTACCCTAAAATTGTTCAAATAATGTTCTTTTGTGTAGTGTGGCAACGTTGTTGCCACTTGTGCCTAAATGTGTTTTGTCACCTTCTTGTTTATTATTGTTATTATTATCATTCGTTCTCACTTTTTTGTTTTTGTTGCTGATACACACTTGTCACGCTTAGTTCTTACTGGTATACCCTTGTGTTCTACACACTTTTGTGAGAAATCGCACCTCGATATTCCAGTGCTGTCATTGTATCGTGTCACCCTACCTTGATTGCTATATTATTTCCTTTGTTCTCATTTTGTTCTTTAGTACAACGGTGATTCCTGAAGAGTGTTGTACGAAAACTTGTTCGAATCATCTTTTTTTCCATTGCCCTTTTTCTTCTTACATGTATTTTATTTACCCTTTAGATTGTTTCTTGCATCGTCTCCATCGCTTACATTGTTAATAAAGTAGTCCACATGTCGCTTCAGCTCGTCCTACTTATTGCCATATTAAAATTATTATTAATGCGATTAATAGTATAAGTGAAGCGAACATTACAAAATGATGAATGAGAATACATGTATCTAAAATGGTTGTTCCTAATCGATTTTCTTGAGACTATCATCCGGGAAAATCGTCTCACAATAGAGGCTATACGGAGAAACAAACTACTTATAGGTTATCACTCTATCACATTCACCTGCTTCCACGCCTTCATTTCACTCACCTTTTGTAGTAGCTCACACCTCAGAACACTCTCACATCTTTTCTTCTAATTTCTTTCGTCTTCTCTCCCACTTTAGTTTTTTTTTCACACCTCACCTTGTATACTTCCCACTATCCGATAACCTATAAGTAGTTTGTTTCTCCGTATAGCCTCTATTGTGAGACGCTTTTCCCTGATGATAGTCTCAAGAAAATCGATTAGGAACAACCATTTCAGATACATGTATTCTCATTCATCATTTTGTAATGTCCGCTTCACTTATACTATTAATCGCATTAATAAAGTTATTGTCTCCTCGTCGCCTTTTCAATATTATTATTAAATTTTGAATAGCTCAGTCCCATCGCGTGCATCATTTTGGGCATTCGATTGGTGACATGAAAAACAAAAGAAGTTATAGCAATTAAAACTGCTTTATGGCAGCTTTCTAAAATAAGTTATTGTGCTTTAGTCCTGGGTCCTTTATAATTTGCTACCAGACTGCCTTGGACTCCGTCTAAAAAGTAAGAAATTAACGAAATGTGATTGCCGAAAATTAAAATTTCACACAAAACCTCCCAATAATCACACACAGAATGAAAAGCGGGAAGACCTTTTCCCCTCGTGATCCTCTTTCCCATGCATGCATGTTGGTGCACTACAAGTACAAGAGAAAACAAGTGTTGAAGGCATTATTAAATTTTATTTTGATTATCAAATGTTGCGATTATTGTGAGGTTTTGTGTGAAATTTTAATTTTCGGCAATCACATTTCTGTAATTTTTTACTTTTTAGACGGAGTGCAAGGCAGTTTCGTAGCAATGTATAAAGGACCCAGGACTAAAACACAATCACTTTTTTTAGAAACCTGCCATAAAGCAGTTGTATTGCTATCATCATCATCATTATCTGCGTTGCCGAAAAAAAATAATAGTCTCTTTCCCTCAAACTAGTGAAAATAATAGTAAAATTTAAAAAATAATAATAAACGGCATTATGCAGCTGTGTAAGCAGTAGATGCACAGTGTGACTGCCAGGCATCTCTGTCAGATGCCATAATGAGGTATTAATCGGCTTTTTAGTAGTAAGTTCACTGCTTGCAACACTGGCTCGCTATGTCCATCATGAGGACAGATGGAATCGGTTGATTACCGTCTGTTAGTCGTGCTATTCGTTCTCTACTACTAGTATAACATTACTCGACAGATGGCGTGTTTCAGACCAGGCTTCTCCGCCTGTTCCATAAAATTACCAGCGCATCAATTCAATCACCAGCTCATCAAGTCAATCACCATCGCACCAAGTCAATCACCATCGCATCAAGTCAATCACCATCGCATCAAGTTGAATCCGAGCGACCAAGTTTTGACCGAACTTCGAACTACAAAGCAGGCATGAGCCTGCCGTGAGTCGGTCAGGCGGAGAGCTGGTTCTAAACAACAATACAAGAGGAAGAATTGTTTTCTTAGATGTTCTCCAAGTCTTCCAAGTATTGCGCAAGCTCCGAGCCTTGCATCAGAGCGCTAGCTCTCAAATTGTGTCGGCTCACCCGGTGTCGCCTCTTATCTCAGTTCATCTCTAATAGAGCAGTGAGTGCTCGTTCCTCAGTGCTGTACTCTGAACACCAGAGTGTGAATCGGCTATTACGTGCGACGCACCAAAACGAACGTCGGTATTCTGCGTTCCCATGTGCTAGTGCATCTGAGCTCCAACACGTGAACCCAGCAGTTGATCGGAAACGGATACTAGTATTCAACTATGGATGTACAGATAAGTGCGAAGTGTATTCTGGCAATGGTATGCGTGTCCCTGACGTCCTGGGTAGCAGTGACCACTGGCATTGCCGGAGCTCATGAGGGCCTTTTACCAGAACTCCTGAAAGAGAAAACTGCAGTCCCTAGGCGTAGCATGCAACTTTACCCGACTTATCCTGAACATGGTCATCCCCTCCGACCGGCTTTCAGTCCGCGAACAACAGTACTTATCACGGATGCTTTCTTCAACAAGCCAATGGAAAGGGTTGTAACATTTGGTCTGCCCGATGCCAATTCTACCCTCTGTACAATAGTGGGCTCATTCTTTTCAACCCAAACTACTTTGCAGAGCTGGAATTACAAGACATTCTTTTCTTCTTACCAAGCTTTACAGACAAAATGTTTTTGTAAACTGGCGATTCAGCCCAGTGTGACGTCATCACCTGACCGAAGTATGTTAGTCTTCTATGGTTTTGGAGCGGGCGAGTGCTCCGAGTTCATCGTTCTTCACGATGGTTTCACAGCCATCACCAGTATACTGTACACAACTGGTGAGAAAGCTCCATGGGCTTTCTCACCTGCTCTTGTTACCGTACCCACCAATACGTCATCGTCCATGTTCACACTCATATCATACGGAGGGTCTCATTGTAACGACATGAGCGACAGTGAATGTACCCGCTTCTCCACGGATATTTTCCAGATCACCATCGACAGATCAGACACAACAGTGCCTGCCAAATGGATAAAATCGGAACAGTTAGCAAATGCTCGCTCTCCAAGCCCCAGGTCAAATCCCACTCTATTTTCCACAAGTGATTCCGATTTATTGCTGTTCGGGGGAGTGGAAGCACATGAACATTCCCAATCCATCCAGTTGCGAATGTTAAAAGATTTCTGGATCTTCAATATTGAACAAGGTACATGGACTGAACTGTCATCAGATTTCCCGCCTTTGTACTTTTTGCCTCCTGGTGACGATATGGACATTATGAGAGAGTTTTACAATAACTTACAGGCTGCGTATCTTAGTGACTACCGAGCACTGATTGTGGCATACTCTGTGCCGTTTGGGCCCTTTCCCCTGTATCTATGTGCGCTGCCACCCCAAGACGTAGGTCGAGTTCACTGCGAAGCGAAAGGAAAACTATCGACATTATTCCCTATGTCATATCCGTACGAGATGCCTTGGTTTTCATTGTTATCCAGCCACTCAAATGAATTTCACATTGTGTTTCATGGTAAAGAAAGTAAAAAGAGTTTCATTGTGGAGCAGGACTTCCAATCTCAACGCAATACGTCACAGCTAACGATCACGCAAAAGCTAGACATTGATGTTCGAAGTCAGTTTCCAGGCTTTCAGGGCTGCTTTAATGCACGGCCTATGTCTGTATCGCTTCGGCTAAACACCACATCAATAATAGCATATGTGTTTGTTGGGTCGCATTGTCCAGCTCATTCAGCTGGTAGTAACATTCGATTTACTCGATCTGAGAGACCGTCTCTTGTTGTTTGGCTCCTATTGTACAACAAGTTCGAACCCTCCACTATAGTGGCAAAGTATCCTTCACCTTCACCTTTGCTGTCGAGGAGCAATGGCCACACACTCACATCCGTGGGACCATACATGGGAATTCTCTTTGGAGGTTACCAGATAACAGACAAAAGCATAGGTTAACCAGATTCCACTTGGTGTATGTATATCAAGTTTGATTACTTGGCTCAAGATTCCGCAATCTACTGGCGATTCCTTACCACATATCCCTTCCCGAACAAGCCAATGGCTCGAAGTGAGCATGTCGCATTTCTTCACAAGAACAACAACTTGTTGATACAAGGTGGTGCAGACATCGCCCAATTCAAAGTTTACAGTGACTTGTGGATATTGCAGGTGACAGACGAACAGTCATGCTACGGTAAATGGATCGAACTGACTGATAATGTTTTTGGTGAGAAACTCCCTCATCGCTACGGGCATTCTGCCACGATGTATGGTGATGATATCATTCTGTTTGGTGGTAATGACGTAATCGCTGAAGACAATGGCTTCAGAACCACCCGTGATAATGTTGAAAGGTTCATGACAACCGATGACGTGTTGCTAATGGCGATCAAGAACCTATCGTTTATACATCTGCGCAAGATCCATTTGTCACGTCCGCTTCCCTTGACATGCTATCATTCCCTGTCTCAGTACGCGTTCAATTCCCTTTTACTACTTGGCGGATTGTTTTCTCGCAGACGGCTTTATACGTATTACAAAGACACCAGCCAAGCATTTCTTCTTCAATTTCGTGAAGATACAGTGAACAAGACAGTGAAAGTGATTCCCTATTTCAATTTCACCATATTTGGCCATTATGTGATCGACAATTTCGTCTTCTCCGGTGGGTTTGCGTATGACTTGGATCATTATACGCCAGCAGTAGGTTTTCTGTTTGTGAATGTCTCGGGAAACTGTCCCCTGGGCTATGGGTTCTCGGACCATCGTACCTGTCAGCCCTGTCCTGTAGGGTATTACTCGTCCGCTATTGGAGAGGAGTGTCGGAGATGTCCTGGTGATTTAACGACACCAGGCATTGGAGCCTGGAAATGCGATACCATATGCAAGGATAACTACTGCCATGGCCACGGTACATGCATGGTGGACAGGGATGACAAGAAGTATTGCAAGTGCAAGTTTGGATACCTGCCTGCCGACAACTGCCGTACACCCACAGTCTATCTTTCTCAGGTGGCCGCCGTTATTTTCTCCTTGGTACTTTCTTTGTGCATTACGTTCCTAGTGAAGTTCATTCGAAAGCATCGTGACTTGAGGAATACGGAGAAACAGATGCAAATCCAACATGTTCATCTCCAAAGGTCACTGAGGAAACTTGCGGAACTGAATCGGGGAGCGCGAATGCAATGGACCGACATAACCATCAGCAAACGACTCGCTTCGGGCACCTACAGCAAGGTGTATATTGCAAAGCTTAGTGACATGGATGTTGTTGTCAAGAAACTTCCCAAGCGTTTCAATCGCACGCGATGGCGTACATCACCTTTTGACATCTTCTTGGAAGAGGCTGAGACACTGCGTTCATTGCGCCACCCAAATATTGTGCTCTTTCTTGGAGCAGGCCAGGACACAGCAGACAATTGCCCATTCTTGGTTATGGAGTACTTGCGACGAGGTTCTCTCTACGACAATCTCCATGACCCAGGAATTCAACTAGAACAAGAGGATATGCTCCGGTTTGCTAAGGACATCGCTCGTGGTATGCGATATTTGCATAGCTCCAATCCTCCACAGATTCACCGTGATCTAAAGAGTCCAAACCTATTGGTCAGTGACAAGTGGGTGGTGAAAATCGGGGACTTAGAGTATACCAGATATCTTGCCCTACTGGACAGTGAAGATCGTCCGCAATCTGGCCGGGAATCCAGCAGCGATGCCCAACCCAACGCTCAGGCGGCAAGCGGTATAACATTACAGCAGAACTCAACGGCACACAGCTGCGAAAGAGAGACTCTGATTCAATCAACGGTTTCTGAATGCCGAGAACGTTCACCGTCAATACACCACAGCAGCGGAGAAGTCGCAATTCCACTTCTGTGCATCACGGACCAGACTCAATCTGACAATACGATCTCTGGAAATGCTGGTCCCATCGTAACTATGACAACAGACGACGCAGAGAGTACACTCAGTCCCTGTTTCACGGCCTCACAGCTACCATCGCGAGTTGGAATGACGTGTGGTGTGGGGACTGACAGATGGAGAGCTCCAGAGACACTGACTGAGAATAGTTACACTGTTAAGTCGGATGTGTACAGGTAAGTGTGGTCTTGTTGATTTCCTCTTTCCAGTCCATTTGTGAACGCACCTCTTACGAATTGCCTTTTTAAAGGGTGCTTTTCCACATTCAGTGACAATACAAAATTATACAATATATTCGAGTAGGAATTAAAACCCCTACACATGTCATGATCAAATCAAGTGGTCCCTTCGCTCTTCCCTGCAAAATTACAGATTAGATATTCCAATCAAATCTTCGGCAAAGAGCCATCATCAGTAGTAGGCAAGGAATCAGATTAAGACGTGACGTGTAGACACACACCCGATAACAAGTACATTTTGTATATGGCCAATTATAGTGATGGTTGTTCTCTTGCTTTGCTGTGGATGTAGAAAACTTATGTTGTTGAATGGTGGTAGTGCGTTGTTTCCCAGAAATATGCTCAGCGTTTTGTTTGTGTTAATCCACATACTCTGCACACAAGCGTTCGTCCTAAAATAAAACTGCTTGCCCTCACATTCACACAAAGCTTTCCATACAGCGCTACACGACCCACACTCTCCTGGCATATATACCGGCATGGTCGGTACTCCATCCTCATGTTGACTGATGTTTGCGAAAGCATGTAACGTAGCAACAAACAAGCCTTGATTGTCCTTGTTGTTATGGACCTCAGATAATTACACCCATGTGTGTTCCTATACAATGTGTGTAAAAAATGTACGTGCGCATGTATGTGAGTTCTTGCGTGTATGTGCGTGTGTATGTTTGTGTTTGTGTGTGGTCTCTTGCAGTTATGGCGTAGTTCTGTGGGAGATATCTACTCGTCAGCTTCCCTACCCACATTTGACATTCCCGGAGGACATCCATCAAGAGATCCTGGATGGTAACACGCCAGTCTTCCCTCCCACCACTCCCTACCCATACCGTCATCTGGCTGAGAAATGCATGAGCGATGAAGCACGTGACCGGCCCTCATTCCAACAGATATTTCATCAGTTGGAAGGTCTACAAGATGCATGTGAGTTTGAGGTCTAAAGTGCCACCCCTGTCACCCCATAACTGAATTTGTTCATCAACCGCCACACCACAATGGCGCTCACGATGGAGTACAAGGACTACAAGAATACTGCACAGACTCAGTACATTGACATTTTTTACTAGAATCAGACATGTAGCTTTGCAGGATTCATGCTGAATTGCTGATCCCTTTGGAAATATTTGTGTGGGCAAATGTTCGAGACGTCACGGCCATGCACCACCATACTGCAAGGGAACATAATAAAGTTGGTTTGCGCATTCCAGAGGTGAGACAGCTAAGCATCACGTCGTTGAATGTCAGTAACTGCGTGACACCATTGGTGATTTGCTAACTGAAGTTTGCCCAGATCATAGCAGATGTAGCGGTTGAACCTTTGTTAGCTCCCGTTCAGGGTGAGGACTGCAGCCAGTACGATCACAGCAAATGATGCAAGGTCGGACATTCGTGTCCGAGGGTTTTGGACTCCTGCTCAAAGCACATTTCTCGATTTACAAGTATTCCATCCAGATGCATTGCAGCAGCTTCATATTGTAGTAGAAATAATTATTTCCGCTCTTTATCTGCAACACGAGAGGCAGAAGATATTGCAGTGTAATGAAAGGATTGTGCATCTTGACTGTGGGAGCTTTACTCCGCTTGTCTTTACCATGGCTGACAGGGCATCCCCAGATGTACGCGGTGTCTGAAGCGCCTGTGTGGCATGTTGGCGCAGCATGACGGCAAGCCCTAGGCTATGGGCAAGTGATGGCATACCTGTGATGTCGGCTATCGTTTGCGCTGCTTCGCGCAGCCATCATGTTCGTTTAGGAGGAGCGCGCTCGGCGTATCATCGCCCTGACAATGCCTTGCGCCCCTTGGCGATGGCCGAGAGTAGGTTGTGGGTCGTTACCGGAGGTGTGCCGGAGTTTGAAATTGTTAAGTACATTATGTCACTTCTCATAGCGTGTTTCCTTTCTGGGAGAGTGTATGGCATTCATATTTTATGACCATATTATCACCTTATCTTATTCTATGACAGTGCTCGCTGCATTGCATTTAGCAGTGTTTGAGTACTGTAGGGTTCCAATTTACATGATACTAATATCACATTCTTCCTTTCATGCAATTGTTTTCAGTGATTGAATTGTGTTCTACTCCTAGATCCTCCATAAATTGCAAATTGTGTTTTGTTTGCCCGTAAAAGAAATTGACGATCTGTCGACACGTTGGTGGTACAGCAGCACACTGGGAACTCACCTGTACACCATGCAGACAGGCAGTGCTCTTCAACGTGACTGACCACGGGCACAGACAGTACAGCCTCTCCAATTGGCCAAGCAGACTGCACTGCATACATGTACATGTACATGTACATGCGCTGAACGGGTCCTGGATCATTTTCCCAGTACCCATATCGGATCATTGTCCTGGTTCCCGTGCACCCCGGGAACCGCCCTACCCTATGTATGCCTCTGCCATTTCATGGTCAGTATTATTCTGCTCTTTCAGGCCCTAGGAAAGTTAAAAAGAATTTTGATGTGTATCATCTCATTAATTTTCTCAATGAGAAACAACATAGAGACACCCAGAATTTATTCGTTGCTTCTGGTCACCCGACCGACCGTCTTTATTCACCTGACCGCAAAATGTTATTTTTATATTGTGCATGCAAATGTACGACTACACACACGCGATCCTACAGTCCATTTCAAAACTATAGACGCGTGAACTCATACGTACGAGCCGTACGTGCGCACGACAGCCGTGAGTTTTGCATGAGTGTTTTCTGGTTTTCAGATGTGTTTTTCAGGTTTTTCTTCGTCGCCGCGGGAAAACAAAAGATGCAAAACACGCAAAGTCGCAAAAGAAAAGGTGTGAGGAAAGTCTCAAAGAAATGAAAGTCTCAAGTGAATCTTCTTCTTGTTTGCATTTTCTGAGTGCCTGACTGTAATGGCTTCCAAGGCCCGTAAGAATATCAGTGATACCGAGAAAGATATGATTAGTCGTGTTCATTGTTTCTTCGAACAAGAGCTGGATTTTGATTGACGCTTGAGTATCCGAAATCATCGTCGTCGAACTCACCTTGCAACTGGCGTGAGTGAAACCACTGTCACTCGTTGTGTCAGGCGAAGGGAACAGGGAGGCTCAAATCAAATCAAAAAGAGAAAATATAATTATCATCTCTACGAGTCATACTGTATTCACCCAACAAGATCCAAAACATGCAGAAAAGAAGAGAAAAAAGGCAGGAGACGGGATGGGATTCGAATGCCCCACACTTGTACTGGAAATCACGGATCGAAACCACGAGGCTACCAGGACCCATACAAAAATGCACCCGCGATGGTCTGGGCGCAGCACTGTCTCAGGACTAGCAAAAATCCGAAAGAAACTGGTCAAACCCTTCAGAACAGAAATTACATGTAAAACAGGAAAACCTGGCCTAAAAATAAACTTCAATTGTAGCAAAAACAAAGTACATGTGTATAGCCAGAATTGTGAAGCGATGCAGAGACGGAATCTGGAGAAAACACTAAAAATATTTATAATCCCATCGAATTTTGCAAAACACTACGCGTCTATAGTTTTGAAATGGACTGTAATAATAGCATTCCAGACATTGACCTCAAGCTCAGAAGCAGCCAAATGACAGGATGCAGCGCTTGGTGACGAGGTAACTGGTTGTCTTCTATTACATGTATCTCCGATCCGCAATCGGTCCTGAAACAGCATCAGCTCCGCCACCACTAGCACCGCGTCGCTCCTGGACAAAGGTTTCACTGAGAGCTGCTCGTCAGACTCGTTTGCCAGCGAGGCAAAGATCTGGTCCTGGATCTGATGGGACAATGACTGCGCTGGATCGTCTACAGTAAGATTTGATAGACTGGATTGATGGACAAAAGCCATTGGATATGCATCTGTCATGACCGGGGAGTGGGCCAGACATATCTCAGGATTCTACGATTCCAGGTTCTTTACGGAAATATACCAGGAGTCCAGATACCCATTCCTCACCCTCACCACACAAGAAGACCAAAGCTACACTCTAGGACCAAATTCCAAGCAACAGAGAAGCAACAAGAACAACAACAACCCATCGACGCAAAGCATCGACCTATATACTGCTATAATTATAGTAGCGTGCAAGCTGAAGGAGCGAAGCGAGCGAGCAGCAAACCAGCAAAGCATGAATAGTGATAGGTTTCCCAACGCTATTCATAGACGAGACACATCGACGCCACGGCAAACACTTGACAAAGATACATGTAGGAGCAGACGGAATACAATACAGATAGAAACACACGGACACGACATATCCCCCGCCTACGAACATGTTACGTCCTCGTAACAGAAGAAACGTAACGGCACTGAAAAAGAAAGCAAAATAATAAAACTCTTGAAAACTTGAAAGGAAGGAACCAACCTCTTCCGACCCAAGAACCAAAGAAAACATAATGCGCCAGTCTTGCACAGACTCTCCGCCACAGCAGTGTTAGAAAAATAGGTTATGCCGTTACAACTACGTTCGAACAAACTATTGGTCAGCCTGCAGGGATTGCTTCTGTGTTACTATCATTATGAACTATTATAAGAAAGGTTTGATCCCCACACCGGAGCTCGCGCTATTCCGCCGACTTTACTTGACACTTGACTGACTCACGACTGCCATCCAGAGCACACGAGAAGTCCATCGAACCTTCGACTCGGCAAACCTGCAAGAAAGCACCACTCCCTGCTCAATACACAGTGTTTCGGGGAATTCACCCCTCATCAGTTGAGCTTGAGTAGGCTGAGGAAGATTGTGCCTGAAGAGCACCACTTATATAGTGCTCTCCAGGCACAAACATCACCAGGGATACAAACTTACAGAGACGCTCCGCTTCCAGCGCGATAAACACCTCGTGAACACCAGATAGCATCGTGAGTCAGTGTCGCTCCTGGACGGTGAGACAGACGTCGAGGACCCTCGGTCATTCGCAACGCTGTCACCTCCAAACCAACTAGTCGCAAGCCCGCGCTGGGCACAACAGTACGAAGTAGTGGTTGCGACTTCGGCGATGATTTGTAAGAAAGGTTTGCTCCCCACACCGGAGCTCGCGCTATTCCGCCGACTTTACTTGACACTTGACTGACTCACGACTGCCATCCAGAGCACACGAGAAGTCCATCGAACCTTCGACTCGGCAAACCTGCAAGAAAGCACCACTCCCTGCTCAATACACAGTGTTTCGGGGAATTCACCCCTCATCAGTTGAGCTTGAGTAGGCTGAGGAAGATTGTGCCTGAAGAGCACCACTTATATAGTGCTCTCCAGGCACAAACATCACCAGGGATACAAACTTACAGAGACGCTCCGCTTCCAGCGCGATAAACACCTCGTGAACACCAGATAGCATCGTGAGTCAGTGTCGCTCCTGGACGGTGAGACAGACGTCGAGGACCCTCGGTCATTCGCAACGCTGTCACCTCCAAACCAACTAGTCGCAAGCCCGCGCTGGGCACAACAGTACGAAGTAGTGGTTGCGACTTCGGCGATGATTTGTAAGAAAGGTTTGCTCCCCACACCGGAGCTCGCGCTATTCCGCCGACTTTACTTGACACTTGACTGACTCACGACTGCCATCCAGAGCACACGATAAGTCCATCGAACCTTCGACTCGGCAAACCTGCAAGAAAGCACCACTCCCTGCTCAATACACAGTGTTTCGGGGAATTCACCCCTCATCAGTTGAGCTTGAGTAGGCTGAGGAAGATTGTGCCTGAAGAGCACCACTTATATAGTGCTCTCCAGGCACAAACATCACCAGGGATACAAACTTACAGAGACGCTCCGCTTCCAGCGCGATAAACACCTCGTGAACACCAGATAGCATCGTGAGTCAGTGTCGCTCCTGGACGGTGAGACAGACGTCGAGGACCCTCGGTCATTCGCAACGCTGTCACCTCCAAACCAACTAGTCGCAAGCCCGCGCTGGGCACAACAGTACGAAGTAGTGGTTGCGACTTCGGCGATGATTTGTAAGAAAGGTTTGCTCCCCACACCGGAGCTCGCGCTATTCCGCCGACTTTACTTGACACTTGACTGACTCACGACTGCCATCCAGAGCACACGAGAAGTCCATCGAACCTTCGACTCGGCAAACCTGCAAGAAAGCACCACTCCCTGCTCAATACACAGTGTTTCGGGGAATTCACCCCTCATCAGTTGAGCGGGCTTGCGACTAGTTGGTTTGGAGGTGACAGCGTTGCGAATGACCGAGGGTCCTCGACGTCTGTCTCACCGTCCAGGAGCGACACTGACTCACGATGCTATCTGGTGTTCACGAGGTGTTTATCGCGCTGGAAGCGGAGCGTCTCTGTAAGTTTGTATCCCTGGTGATGTTTGTGCCTGGAGAGCACTATATAAGTGATGCTCTTCAGGCACAATCTTCCTCAGCCTACTCAAGCTCAACTGATGAGGGGTGAATTCCCCGAAACACTGTGTATTGAGCAGGGAGTGGTGCTTTCTTGCAGGTTTGCCGAGTCGAAGGTTCGATGGACTTCTCGTGTGCTCTGGATGGCAGTCGTGAGTCAGTCAAGTGTCAAGTAAAGTCGGCGGAATAGCGCGAGCTCCGGTGTGGGGAGCAAACCTTTCTTACAAATCATCGCCGAAGTCGCAACCACTACTTCGTACTGTTGTGCCCAGCGCGGGCTTGCGACTAGTTGGTTTGGAGGTGACAGCGTTGCGAATGACCGAGGGTCCTCGACGTCTGTCTCACCGTCCAGGAGCGACACTGACTCACGATGCTATCTGGTGTTCACGAGGTGTTTATCGCGCTGGAAGCGGAGCGTCTCTGTAAGTTTGTATCCCTGGTGATGTTTGTGCCTGGAGAGCACTATATAAGTGGTGCTCTTCAGGCACAATCTTCCTCAGCCTACTCAAGCTCAACTGATGAGGGGTGAATTCCCCGAAACACTGTGTATTGAGCAGGGAGTGGTGCTTTCTTGCAGGTTTGCCGAGTCGAAGGTTCGATGGACTTCTCGTGTGCTCTGGATGGCAGTCGTGAGTCAGTCAAGTGTCAAGTAAAGTCGGCGGAATAGCGCGAGCTCCGGTGTGGGGAGCAAACCTTTCTTACAAATCATCGCCGAAGTCGCAACCACTACTTCGTACTGTTGTGCCCAGCGCGGGCTTGCGACTAGTTGGTTTGGAGGTGACAGCGTTGCGAATGACCGAGGGTCCTCGACGTCTGTCTCACCGTCCAGGAGCGACACTGACTCACGATGCTATCTGGTGTTCACGAGGTGTTTATCGCGCTGGAAGCGGAGCGTCTCTGTAAGTTTGTATCCCTGGTGATGTTTGTGCCTGGAGAGCACTACATGTATATAAGTGGTGCTCTTCAGGCACAATCTTCCTCAGCCTACTCAAGCTCAACTGATGAGGGGTGAATTCCCCGAAACACTGTGTATTGAGCAGGGAGTGGTGCTTTCTTGCAGGTTTGCCGAGTCGAAGGTTCGATGGACTTCTCGTGTGCTCTGGATGGCAGTCGTGAGTCAGTCAAGTGTCAAGTAAAGTCGGCGGAATAGCGCGAGCTCCGGTGTGGGGAGCAAACCTTTCTTACAAATCATCGCCGAAGTCGCAACCACTACTATGAACTATTATAATAAGACAAATCAAGACTAGACGGGTGACAAGACCAGAAACGTGTCCAGGAACTGGTAACTGACCCGAACTAACTTCACTTGAAATCCGCGGCTCCCGTTTGCGTGTTGCCTTCATCTTGACTTCCTCGATGTACCTCCTCTCCAGCTCTGGCTACGTCCAGCAGTTTATCGTCATGCTCCGGGACGGGCGCGTTGGTGATGGTGACCAACCGCGGTCGCCAGGGTGCAGTTTATCGTCGTACCCAGGACGGACGCGTTGGTGATGGTGGCGATGGCTATTGGCAGCGCTCCCTCTCGCTGCCGAGGGTTCGGAATGTTAGTGGCACTGGACATCCTGGCGTGGTCGCCAAATGTCATGACCGGGGAGTGGGCCAGACATATCTCAGGATTCTACGATTCCAGGTTCTTTACGGAAATATACCAGGAGTCCAGATACCCATTCCTCACCCTCACCACACAAGAAGACCAAAGCTACACTCTAGGACCAAATTCCAAGCAACAGAGAAGCAACAAGAACAACAACAACCCATCGACGCAAAGCATCGACCTATATACTGCTATAATTATAGTAGCGTGCAAGCTGAAGGAGCGAAGCGAGCGAGCAGCAAACCAGCAAAGCATGAATAGTGATAGGTTTCCCAACGCTATTCATAGACGAGACACATCGACGCCACGGCAAACACTTGACAAAGATACATGTAGGAGCAGACGGAATACAATACAGATAGAAACACACGGACACGACACATCATCATGATTGTATGCACACCGCAGTAACCAAAAATAAATAAAAAATAAAATAAAGCCGACCGACCGACCCTGGTCCGGATGAGTGAAGTGACCCGAAACAACGAACTAGGTGGCCTAGTCATTAAAGGGGAAGTTAAAGCAAAAATTAAAATTTCACCAGTTGTAGTCTTCGGGGTGCTGAGTCGAATGGTCTTGGTCCGAGAAAGCTGAGACGCTCCCTTCCTACTTGAATCCCAATCGAACTCGCGCACTTCCACCGAAACTGGGTGACTGCGCCCTACTAGATGGGGATTTGTATACAAAATGTCACTAAAAGCGCCATTTCGTTCTTATAAAAGCACGGAATCGAACATGGTTGAACAAGCGGTCACGTGCTCCTGCGTACACCAGTCACCTGCGTGACCTGGTCACCGTGCTTGCAGGGCACAAGTAAGTTACTACTAGCCTGTTTGACCTTTTTTGGGTGCAGTCCTGTGTGTGTGTGTCTGCACTCGGACTCACTACTCGAGTTGAACTCGTCTCGAGATTTGGGCACCCAGGAGCACGTGACCACTTGTTCAACCATGTTCGAGTGGGAATAAAGGAGGAACGCTGCATCGCAGCCTTTTCGGACCAAAACCAGTCGACTCAGCGTCCAAAACTTGCAAAAGACTACAACATATGGGCCAATCGCGGTCATCCGTGCTTTTATAAGAACGAAATGGCGCTTTTAGTGACATTTTGCATACAAATCCCCATCTAGTAGGGCGCAGTCACCCAGTTTCGGTGGAAGTGCGCGAGTTCGATTGGGATTCAAGTAGGATAGGAAGGGAGCGTCTCAGCCTTCTCGGACCAAGACCATTCGACTCAGCACCCCGGCCCGAAGATTATTATTTTTGTGACACATCATTATTATAGGGTACCTCCCTTCAAACTCTCCAACTACGGTCTCTTCGCTGTATACGTTCACTTCACTTCCAAAAAATATAAAATTAGATACAAATGGAATGCACAATTACAAGTGGAGTGCATTCCAATTTTGTATCTAATATTTTTTGGAAGTGAAGTGAACGTACATGTATGCAGCGAAGAGACCGTAGTTGGAGAGTTTGAAGTGAGGTACATGTACCCTATAAATTATAATGTGTGAATGGCTGCAATGGAGTCTGCGAGTGCTTAGAAAAGTTTACACATCATTATTTTTACATTAAAAAAATAATTTTTCGAAGTGAAAGTCAGAGGCATGTACTGATATGATGTAGGTGTTGTTGTGTTGTAGTGACGTCCAGTTGCAGTAGGTACAAGTAAAGCAGTTCACCATGTGTACTGGTTATTTCAAGCTCTCTCTTGCGTGATCTGGTCAAGAAATGCAGTAGAGCCCTCTTATCTGTACTCAGCTTGAGGCTAGCAGCATGCAGCGCTCAGCGGCTCATCGAGGAATCACCTTCACCACCTGCAATCTGTTCAGCTGGTGCATACTCATCCGAAGCCGTCGTTCGTGCTGCCAACACAGCGCGCAAAGCAAAGCCACCGATGTTTTCGTGGACTCCGTTCTAGATCGCAACTACGTTCCTGCCACGCACATCAGTATGCTACCTGCTCAAAGTACTGATCGACTGGAGAGCTTGCGAGGTTCTGCATTCCTGAGCGACCTCCAAGCGCATGTAGACGTGAGTGAGAGCGAAATCAGCAAGCTTGCTGCTGCCACATCAGTGTTGTCCGCCGGATCCATTCAGCTGAATACCTCACTGGTTTTGTCAGCGTGGCGCAGAAAAGGGCGTCAGAATACATCCACTGTCAGTGTGATATTTAGCGTGTTACTGTTAGCACAGCACTGCTGTTCTTCGTCATTCGCCAATTTCTGCAAAGAGATCTGCAGGATGCTTGTGGACAATGAGAACATGGTGAGTGACAATTTCGTTTGAAAGTTTTTGATACTGTTTTTTTAGTTCCTCGTGTCAGTTATCTGGAGTTTTTGCTTGAAAACAGGAGATAACTGCCTTTTTGGATAATGGCAGGACTACAGGTCCTCCCTCATTATAACGAGTCCGGTTAGTACATAAACCCCGTTAGTAAATAGAAATCTGAAATCCCCCTGGCGAAACGTGGTCTATACAACTGTTTACAGGTCCGGTTACAGCATAATCCGTTAGTACATAAAATCTGTTATAACGACCCTTTGCCCAGGTCCCTGGAGTGCCAAACCCTCAGTATAAGATAATATTAACCATGCAGGACCAAGGCCAAAACATGTAGGATAAAGCAGAACGAGGAAAAGTATGATGTCTATGTATTCGTGAATATGGACGATCCTTTGCATCCAAGGAAGAGTTATGTTGGAGATTTTCAATTATCTTATAACGAGTTGAAGCATCAATAATTTATGTTGTATCGAGGGTAGCCCCGGTAAGTACGAAGTGGTGCCTATTTCACCTTTAGCTGCAAGTCCTGCTACAAGATAAGTCTCGTTATAAGATAACTTTTTCGATGGCCCAGAGATTATCTACTAACGAGGGAGGACCTGTATAAGGGGCCATCCGTAAATGTCGATAGTTTTTTCAATCCGTGAATTTTACAAAGTAACCAGGACCCACCACCCACCCCCCTACTTTTTACGGAATAAAAATATTGATGACACATGTACTGTACCTACAACAGTCCACAAGGCCTCGATGACGGCGTAGTAGCCATCGTCGTCTTCACCAGGGCTGTCAAGCTCTTTGAAAAACTTATCTTTTTTGGCAGCTGTACCAAACAAAGTAGTCTGCCGTGCTATTTTCGTTAGGCCACGCTCCACATGAGAACTGTTCAAACCATTGGCGATGTAGCAATTCTTCGATGTGGATTTCAAATAATTAATCAGGTATTGTGATACTTCGAATAATTGTGCAATAATTATACTTGTGAATAATATCTGACAAACTTCCCTCTTTCTTTTGCTTCAAGAGTTTCGATCTCCACTACATTTTTTGGAGACAACAATCTACGCGTACGTGTGGTTCGACGCACGCAGACCCACGCACACGCAGTACTGGGCGCCAGGTCCGCGTGTCATCGATATTTTATTTACTTTGAATTTCGGCTGCACCCACCACCCAGGTACGAAAATTTCACGGATTGTAAAACTATCGACATTTACGGACGGCCCCTAAGAGGTGTGTTTCAAATAATATTATAATTTTTAATGACTTTAGCCAAGGTAGACAGAAGGATAATACATGTATAATTATTAATTAATATTGAATCGAGAGTAGTGATGAGGGGGAGTTTGATGTTAGCAAGAGGAAGTCTGCAGTGTACAAGCATTTGGTGTCCAGTACTGTCCAGAATGTCGTAAGGTGTTTGACAATTCCTGGTTTAGTGTTATTTGTTGCGCACGTTTCTTCAAGCAATTGCAGGTGTTGGAAGCTTTGTATATTCGTACTCGTAACCCTGTGCTATGTAAACAGAAAGAAAACGTTGTATCACTCACACTCTTCAAGTAATACACACGCACCATTACATTCATTCACACAGTATCACATTCATCTGCCACTACCTTTTTCACATACACTATATTCACAGATTGCAAAGGTGCAAACTTCGCTTTTTGTACTTGCTGGCTGCTGTAGTTCTACCTGAAACCGTATCAGCTACATGTATATAAGTGTGTGGTTTAGTGATTGTATTTTTATGTGACAGCGTTCCACTGATGAAAGTCACAAGAAAACGTTATGGAACTTAAAGGGGAAGTTAAGGCAAAAATTAAAATTTCACCAGTTGTAGTCTTTGGGGTGCTGAGTCGAATGGTCGTGGTCCGAGGAAGCTGAGACGCTCCCTTCCTACTTGAATCCCAATCGAACTCGCGCACTTCCACCGAAACTGGGTGACTGCGCCCTATTAGATGGGGATTTGTATGCAAAATGTCACTAAAAGCGCCATTTCGTTCTTATAAAATCACGGTTGACCGCGATTGGCCCATATGTTGTAGTCTTTTGGAAGCTGAGTCGACTGGTTTTGGTCCGAAAAGGCTGCGATGCAGCGTTCCTCCTTTATTCCCAATCGAACATGGTTGAACAAGCGGTCACGTGCTCCTGCGTACGCCAGTCACCTGGTCACCGTGCCTGCAGGGTACAACTTACTAGCCTGTTTGACCTTTTTTGGGTGCAGTCCTGTCACTCGAGTTGAACCTTGGTGTGAAAGTTGTCGCCTGCTGGCGTTGTGACCAGGTGATTTGGGCACCCAGGAGCACGTGACCGCTTGTTCAACCATGTTCGATTGGGAATAAAGGAGGAACGCTGCATCGCAGCCTTTTCGGACCAAAACCAGTGGACTCAGCGTCCAAAAGACTACAACATATGGGCCAATCGCGGTCATCCGTGCTTTTATAAGAACGAAATGGCGCTTTTAGTGACATTTTGCATACAAATCCCCATCTAGTAGGGCGCAGTCACCCAGTTTCGGTGGAAGTGCGCGAGTTCGATTGGGATTCAAGTAGGAAGGGAGCGTCTCAGCTTTCTCGGACCAAGACCATTCGACTCAGCACCCCGAAGACTACAACTGGTGAAATTTTAATTTTTGCCTTAACTTCCCCTTTAACTTTCTTCATTTTTGCTGTTGTTATGAGTGCACAATTTATCTTTTTTATAGCCATTTTACGACTATTGTCTCCTCGTCGATTGTTTAATATTGAATTATGCTTCGATGCTTTGTTCTCCCGAGGAGTTTTTGTTTTCCATGCTTCTTTTTCATTTGTCTTGTGTTTATATGTATAATGTGTGTGTGTGTGTGTGTGTGTGTGTATGTATGTGTTTGTGTGTGTGTGTGTGTGTGTGTAAGTCACTTCAAACAGCTGTGTGGTGGATACCAGGCTAAAAATAGTGGCGGTCAATTCATCATCCTTGCAAGCTGTTGAATGGTGTAATCCCAGCACAAGTTGCTATGTCTAACATAGCTGTTCGCTATCATCGCTTCCGCGATGGGCATGTCTGAGGTCTGAGGTATGCGTGTGTGTGTGTGCATGTGTGCGCGCGCGTGCGCGCGCGCGTGTGTGTGTGTGTGTGTGTGTGTGTGTGCACGGGCGTGTGTGTATGTGCGTGCATATCTGTGCTTTTACAGCTCTTGAACGCATTTCCTAACATCATCACCTACAAACAACGTCGTTTCAACCAGGAAGAGCGTATTCGTTGTCAGATTGAGAGTGAGTCTATGTATCATGTATATTCATTTTGTCTACAATCCATTCATGAGCTGAATATCTCTGCCTTTTTTTTTCAAACCCAATTTAAGCCGATAGAGTTGATTCAAATGATGGTAGATACACACCTGGCAGTATAACGGTAAACACACGCCTGCCCACGCACGCTCTTTAGGCTGCACAGTTATTCCGGCACAGAGCTCTCTTCTCACCACCATCAGCGCCAAGAGGAAGATTGCCTGATGAGTCCAGCGGGGACGAAATGTACGGGACAGTCGACCTTTGGCGTTGCTGTGTCATCTTCCAGGTGCCATGCACTACCTGAAGTACCAGCCTGCTATGTCGGATACCGCCAACCCTGCATCGACTAGGCGCCAGGCACGAACCGCTTGTGGTGGTGAGAAGGATAGCTCAGTGTCAGAATAACTTTGCAGCCTAGAGAGCGTGTATGCGCAGGCGTGTGTTTACCGCCATGTTGCCAAGTGTGTATGTACCACCATTTGAATCAACCATAAGTACAGCTCCAGTGGTGTCTTCAAATTTATTCCCCGATATAGTCTCAGAACTAAATAACTTTGACAAAATTTTGACTCAAGATAGTTTTTGTGTCCACATTGCAGCCAACTTGTCGATACCCAACCTGACTGAATTCGGCAAAATCCTGTTGAAAATACAATCCTTCATGGTCCATGATTTTGGAAGAAGCCCTGTCATCACCATATTTGGTAGCGCAATCAATAGAGTTACTGCATGACCGAAACAATAGCGAAGAAGATAAAACTTGCCCACCGATTTATGTGCAAAAGCTGAATGTGATGACGATTTTATGTACGGTGTTTATTTTGACTGTAGTGTGTATTGATATGTTTGTTTGTCAGTTAGAAACAATGAAGAGTACATGTACTTGCAGAAAAGAAAAGGACCAAGGAACTACAAGTTGCACTATAATGTTCGCTAACACCATGTACCAGTTACTAAACAATCAGCTCATGTGATCCTTTTTCTTTTCTATATATTTACCCTTGGCTCGCCATCCGAGTCCATACCTTTACTTGCATGCATGTTTATACACATGCTATTGTGATAATGTCACTGTTCCTGTTCTAGGGTAGACTCGGTTGGAGAGCCGAGGATTAATTTTATAATTCCTGTTCTAGTCCATGTTTCCGGCACTTCCAGTGTTTGTCTTGTACACCCCCCCCCCCCCCCCCATCTATTTGTATGTGTTATGTTTGTCTATAATGTCTTCTAACAGACATTCCATTGGAGGATGGTAGCTTCTCGACTGAAAACAAGAAGTCCTTCCTTGGCCAGGATTCCTAGTGAGTATAATGTTTCTTAATTTAAAGGGGAAGTCCCGTGAAATTTTTTAATTTCAGTCCGTAGAGTTCGGGGCGCTGAGTCGACTTTGTCCGAGGAGGCTGCGGCCTATGGTTCGTCAGATACGCCCAATCGAACATATGTGAATTTGAGCGCACATCACCCAGATCCAGGTGATGACGTCACAGCATGCAGCCAAGTAGCCACACCATCTAGTTGTGTACAAAATGGCAATATTCGGAGCGCGTTCGATTGGGGAACCGTTTGTCGCTGCTTCTTCGGACCAAGACCATTCGATTCAGCGTTACAAACACTACGTACCCTGTGATTTTCAGCTCGGTAAACCTCGACGTTACACCGTATTTTAGCCGTTTCCGAGTTGGACTTTTTCCGTCGGCATGCACTGGCCTCTACGGCTCTAGCAATGCGCTGCGTGCATGCTAGCTGTAGTTTTTGTAGTCAACAAACTCATCACACACGGAACTACTCCCGCACTGCCGTGCTGGGCTAGCTACAACATTCAACAAGACTCGAGACACAAGACTCAGAAAACTAGTCAACACACGGACTTGTCATGTGCTACACTCGTATCAGTCGTGTACAGTCATGTAGTCAGAGAACGTGCGTTTCTCCTTTGCCGGTGCCGGTGGTTGTGCTTTGAGAAAGAAAGTTTTTGTTTTCCGCTCCCGCCTCATTATTTTATGCTACAGCGATGAGTGCACAACCGTGACAAGTGACAAAAACAGCGAACAGCTCCTGGACCTAGAACTTTCAGATCCCGTAGCGCTGCGAGCGAAGTGTCGTGCCCGTGGTTCAAAGAGCCTGCACTGTTCTCCGATTGAGTAGTCCGAAATATGCCAAGTTCGCACCAAAACATCACCATGTGGCAGGCTACTGGAGTCTAAGCGAATCGGTAAGGAACAACATTTAGAGCACTCGCATCACTCTTCTCCATTTTGGCGACTCTGCTCTCCAGCGATCTGATAATTATATCAGGCTTGTCTGCAATAGCTGCTGCTTCTTCATCAGTCGGAAACTCAGTAGCGCTCACTCTTGACCGGCCCGCGCGGCCATTTCTTCAGCCGAATACCGGGGTTCTCAGCCCCAGACCGAACTCATGAAGGTCAGCCATGGCTGCATCCTCTCTCACAAGGAGTTACGTCTTTGAGGTCGCTTGCACCAACCACTATCGGTCGCCAAATCATTTGAAAAAGCACTGACACTATTGCTTTCACGCACTCCTTTTGACCTAGCTGCACGCTATGACGTTGCGGAGGGTGTGGCGCGGCCGCGTGACGTCATGGCGCAGCCCCTGAAACTCAGTTATTCAAACGGAAATATCTCGAGAACGCTTTGTCGGAGACACGTGGGACCAACACCATTCGATTCAGCGCCCGAAACTCTACCGACCCTGAAATATAAATTTTTCACTGGACTTCCCCTTTAAGTTGGTTATCTTTGTCATAGTGATGAATCGATCGTAGGCTATTTGTTGGGGAAATTTCTCTCGAGAACTCCACTGAACTCTGCAGTACCTAAGAAGTGTATATTGTATTCTGCTATCACATAATGTTACGATGGAATATGGGTAATCACCATACATTAGACGGTCTGTATTTGTGACAATGGTTTTCATCTCTACTTCTGTATGTGTGTGCTTGCTTGTGTCGGTGTGTGTGTGTGTGTGTGTGTGTTTGTGTGTTGTGTGTGTGTATGTCTGTGTGCGCGTGCTTGCGTTGGTACATGCGAGCCTGCGTGTGTAAAAGCGGGTGTATGTTGTTTTCAATGCTGCGGGCATGCCTGTGTTCTGTGCGTATGTATTTTTAAAATGTTTTGATTTGCAGCATGGTAATACTCCGAACACACCTGCACGCCATGCACATTGCTGACAAGCTGATCGTGGACTCTGACCAGTACAATCTGTTCCAGGGTGAGTCACTTTTGCTCCCCAGTCTCTGCTATTTCACACTCACGATGATCAATCAGCCAGACAGAACAGAACTAGACAGAACTTCGTGCTATATACAACGTGTTTTAAGAAATCTTTCAGTCTTTAGTACCCATTAATAGCTCTAGTTTTCTCTTCATCTCTCTCCTTGTTTTAACAGAAGCTGAGGCTACAGCAAACACAGCCACATGTACAGTCACAGCCACAGTCTCAGCACCATCAGGAGCGGGAGAGAGGACAGGTATGTGAAGAAGGCACAAGAAGCACAATGCTCGGCATCATGATTATCCCAAGGTTATAAAAAGTCCCCAGAATATTCCGTACAGAACAGTTTCAAGCAGTACTGCCCAAACACACCACCTTCACCCACATCTCCGCTTTTCTACGCCACCTCCTCTTTTCCCCATCACCTCCACTTTGCCCCACCACCTCTATGTCCTACTCCACCTCCACCTCTGTAGTGCCCGTCCACCTCCGCTTTGTCCGACCAAGTCCCGCTCTGCTCTACCCAATACACTGTGCGGAAACCATCGGGAAATACAATGAGACGTTTAGAAATTTTTTCGAAACTCTCATTGGATTTTCCGATGGTTTCTGTGTGAATGGTGCTATACTATTATAAGGTACTTAGTGTAGGTGTCTGTGCTTCGTGACTACACACGTGGGTGTTTATGTGCTGGAAAACACGGTACAGACTTGTTTTATGAAATGTATGAACGACTGCTGGGCCTTTGGCGAAACGTGGAGATCGTTTGTGAATCCATTTCTCGTTGTATGTTTTTTTGATGTTTGTGGCCCACTGCAGATAATCCATTTGACACAGGCACTTTCACTACGTACATCCTTCCAAAGTTGCACGAAATACCTTGTGTAAGGTTTCGCAGGAGTGTTCAGGAACAGGGTGTGCTACAAAGTCTGAGCAAAATCACCGAATTGATGCGCGTGGAAAAGTACGAGCCAGTAGAAAACCATAATGTCAAGATCATCGGATACATCCATGCTGGAGGGACGGTTGCCTACGAAAAGCTCTGTGCAGCCATTGAAGGCCTAAAGTATGAAGCTTCGTACACAGAGATGATTGTACTGCTTCCTGCTGACCGTCAGCCTAGAGATGGTAAGTGTGAAATTGTGTGCAGTTGTTTTGTGCATGTGTGTGTTGTGTGTGTGTGTGGGGGGGGGGGGGGGGGTGTCTCCAATTTTCACTTCAAGATACCATTGCATCTAGTGTCTGCTTCTATCAAAGCAGTGTGCTGTCTATACTGGTGACCCCAGCAAGTGTAGGGTGTGCATAGGTAACTGTCTTGGCCGTCCTATTCCGATTTACTCCGTGTGGAGTAGACCAGATGTGCATTGGGTGGTCGATTCACATGTCTACTATAGTCACAATCCAGTCCAGCACACTCACAGTCCACACCGCAGTTGACCTCCCTCCCTTTCAGTGCATCATGATGCGTGGTCATTTCTGTTAAATTGTGATGTGTGATTTTACTTGCTGACATTCATTTCTTCTGTCATTTCTCGTGTGTGTGTGTGTGTGTGTGTGTGTGTGTGTGTGTGTGTGTGTGTGCGTGTGTGTGTGTTTTTGCGCACATGTTGTGCTGATGTGTTTTTGTTTGTGTATATGTGGGGGTGTATGTGGGCATATGCATGCGTTTGTGTGTGATTATCGGTGCGCTTGTCTGTGTGTGCATATCTGCTGTATTATTGTAGAGATTGACCCACACTGGCTGCTCACGGTGCTATTAGTTAATGATGTGGATGATCATCATCTTCAGCAGTAGCAGCATCACCAGTACCAATCACAGCAATAGCAATAGCAGCAGTAGCAGTAGCGACAACAGCAGGAGCAGCAGCACAAGCACCAGCTGTAGTGACAGCATCATCACCAGTACCACCAGTACCAGCAGCAGTAGCAATAACAGCAACAGCAGCAGCAGCAGTAGTAGCCGCAGCAGCACAAGCACCAGCTGTACTTTACTCTCAGGTATATTATTACTGTGTGTTTTTCCTGCTCTGTCACAGCTATGTACACACACTGTACAGGACCGATGTGATTTGGGTTTTTTCGGGTTGGTCACAAGTTTCGATAGGAGAAATTACATCCGTTCATTTGTTCAGCTGCATAATATTTCTGCATTATTTTATTTTCCCTGATCTCAGTAGTTGTTGCAGTTATGCTTCATGAATCGTTTTCATTGAGTTGTCTTGTTCATGCTCATCACAATGGGGAATCCCCTCCTCTCACATATCTCTATTTCACCTCTCTTTACAATCATGTTCCCTCTGATATTGAATTATTACTCTCAGTAGAGAGTGCTAGATGTACAATCGTTATCTACATGTACATGTACATCATAGGGAGGTTTTGCTCTACGTAATTACGTATGAAAATCCGTATGTCGTGCGCGCCGGGGAGCGAGGGCAACTTTCATACGTAAATCTCTCTACGGATTTCCGTAGGAAAGCTGTTTCCTACGTTGGGTCCTCCGTAGGACTTTTTGAAATATGTTTTCGCATTTTCAGCATTTGTCCGTGGCAACGTTCAAGCTGCGCGAAACACAAGGCACACACACCGTACACCACGTGCAAAATAAAAAGGGAAACGCGGTTTCGGTTCATGGTGCATGCGGCAGGCGCATGCAGCCAACGCGTCTCCAAAGCAACAACGCATGTTTAGCAGTCGTGGAGAACTCACGTAGAGCGAAACGCAACAGCTCTGATTTTTTACGTATGAAAATTCCGTGCAGTTCCTACGTTATTTTCATACGTAATTCCGTAGAGTGAAACCTCCCTACTGTACATGTATGTCTAGTACAGTGACAGCCACTTTCACGGGAACAATAACCGTAATATTAAAATGAAGAGTGGAAACAATGAATGGAAATGCAATAAAAAAATAACCTGCCTCTATCAGTAAAATCGTCTTGTACGCTAAAGGATTTCAAGGCCAACATGAAGCTCGTGTTCTAATAACTGCCAATTCTTCATCCAGATTTGTTTCTCTTTGCCTCCAGTAATGTGCAATATTAATTTTATTTATTTTTGCTTTGTTTTTGTTTACTGCCATGGCTGGCTACCGCCCCCTCCCTCCATATTGGCCTATATTCTCTGGCCACGGGAAGGTGAAAAAAATAAAAAAAAATAAAAAAATGTAATGCAATGCAATCATTAGTACTTAAGTAAAACTAATACAGTGAACCCTGTCTAACGCGACCACTCAAGGGACCTTCAAAACGTGGTCTCTGTCACCAGGTGGTCTCCTTATCCAGGGCCAATTGACTGGAAATAGCATCCCTTAGTCCTGGTTGCAGTGGTCTTCTAGGACAGGTGGTCGCCTTATCCGAGTGGTCGCCTTGACAGGTTTTACTGTATCTGGAATGAAAATGCAAACCTAGTAAAACAAAGGATATTGAACCCAAAAAGCAAAACTAATACTTCAGTAAGTGATGTAAACTATCCCTACACAGTCAGTATGTAGCTGGCATACACTGTAGTATGTGACCTGTACAATAGCAGAACCTAACACGGATTGAAATAATTATTATAAAACAGAAGCCTGCTAAGGCGACCGCTCATGGAGCCTTCACAGTGGTCACAATGTGTCCGGTGCTGGAGTGGCCGGCTTATCCAGGATCATCTGACTGCTGACTACCTCCTTGGTGCTGGTTGTGGTGGTTCTCTGAGACAGGTGGTTGCCTTATCCGAGTGGTCGCCTTGACGGGTTTTACTAGTCCGGCACTGTAGTAGTTTGTGTGAACCAGGGCAGGGTAGGGCAGGGCAGGGCAGGGCAGGGTAGGGCAGGGTAGGGTAGGAGTACTAACGTGTACACCTCTACAAATAATTAATTAATTGTCACTCAGCCTCTGGCCACCAGGGCAGTTACATTATAATTATTCAATGAGCAGTGCAGCCAGAAGTCAGTGGTCAACGAAGAGTCTCCCCAGATGGCTAAAGGAATAAAGTCTTTGAAGATCCACTTCCTCAGCATGGACATATTGCTGTGCTCTCACAGGCTCTCGTGCTCAGTACCGTTATACTATAACTTATAGTCATGAGTGTGCATAGTGTCGCCAGTCAAATGGGGTTAGGATCCGGAGCCGGAGCTGGAGGAGCTTCACATCCACTTCAACTAGTTCAAGCCTCTCTTTATAAACAAAAACACAGCATATTGCAGTGGCGTACGCGGGCCGGCCGTGCTCTGCTACTTCTTCTACTTGTGCGCATATCTTGTGTTTTCTACTACTACTAGAAGTCCTTGCAAAGCACTTAGTTATAGTATTAATATTATTGCCTGATCACGTGATGCCAAACACTACATTGTAGAAATAGGAGCCAGAGTCAGAGAGAACTAAACTGGAAAGTTAGCTACTACTAGTAGATGATGTTGGCGCTACCTCTGGTGTATGATAGGGCCTATCTTCTCTGCGGATCGGACGGCAAAAGCCTGGGTTAGCGCTAGAACTTACTTACAACAACAGCTGTAAGTTGTTAACTTTTAAACGTCTTATTGTTAGTTGACCACGCTACATAGTTTTCCACTCATAATAATTACACTGCGCACTGTCGTCCCATTTTTTCTATAATTATTTTCAGCTGGCGTGTATTAAAATTATTGCGGCATATCAAGGTGCCCTGCGTGCAGCCCGCCGACTTCATAACTACTTCACCGCGGCCTCAGGATCCAGCAACGCCGACACCACACTGATCGCTTGCGGGCACCAGCGAGTTACCTCGATATCGGCACGTTCGTATGGTCTACACGCCAGAAACGGAATAATCCGGCAATCAGCGTGTGCTAGTGACGCCAGATCATTATTGTAGAACTAGTCTGCAGTATGCTGTCGACATGTCGGTGAGGTGATGGCATGGTGTCACGCGGGTTGTTTCTGTGACAGGCCGGCTAGCTGTTACTAAAAAAGAGTGCTTGTGGTACGTTTAGCAGCGCCTGTTGTGTCACACTCGAGAGAGATTACAGACATGTGAACTTGCGGTAGTGTAACAGTGATATGTGGCGTTCCGAGTTCCCCCTGGCCCTGTTTTTGCTGCTGTGCGCGGGCATCGTCACACGGCGGTGCGCGCTGGCTCAACTCGGCACCCAGCACCCGACGCTGACCGGTGAGCGGTTCCCGGAGATTTGCCAAACCGTCTGGAGCGGCACGTCGACGGATACGAGGATTTGGTCCAGCGTGCACGGCATGATCAACTCCTTCCATGGCAGGTAATGCTGTATAAATTCATAGTATATTACGCTATTGGCTTTGTGAATAAACCCGGTCTCAGTATATTTCTGCAAATCAACCACAGTACGAGGGCTTTTAGACTTCATTCAGGAAAACATTTCCGGAATGTTGTGGAAGCTGTCACAAGAAAGAAACACAAAACTTTAATAAAAGCGTAAACAAAAACAATAATTATGTTCACGCTCCTGCTGTTAGGTTTAGTATCCACACGTCATTGGTTCATTGTTAGTTCCGTTCATTAGCCGTCTACATTGGTATCACAATACAAATCACGTCGCTCATTATTATTATTACGGAGGATTAGCAAGACGAAATTCGCGTTCGCGTTCGCTCTCCAAGGAAAGTCGAATTCAGTGACGGAATTCGCGTTATGAGAGGGATTAGCAAACAGAATTCGCACATGCATGACGTTAACACGACGTACATTGTGTACAGACAGTACAGCGTGGTAAATTAATAATGACTGCCCTGACACGAATCCGCGATTCGTGTTCCGACTACTTTTCCGAGCGAAAAATGCGAAAGTTCGCAATCCAGTTCGCGAACTGAAAAATGTTTGCAAACGCGAACGCGAATTTCGTCTTGCTAATCCTCCGTATTATCTCTTCGCATGCCGGGGACTGTAGTGATGTACATGGCTACCGAATTTGCTGTGTTGCTACAGGCAGTATCGTGTGCGAACACAGTTTCTTATCATCTGGCCTTATTCTAACTACTGTAAAACCGGAAAGTCTAACGAGTCACAAAGTCTAACGTTTTAACGACCAATTATTTTTCTTTATTGGAAAACAACGTTATCGCTAGATGTCCGTGTTAAGATGCGCATACGGATGGGTGGCCAGGTAGCCATCGTTAAACTTTCTGCACGACATAATCATGCCAAAATTACAAAAACGTTAAAAACTTTTTCGGTCGTTAAACTTTCCGGTTTTACGGTAAACTACTGACTGCTGCGTATTTCACCTACAACCCGAGATCACTTATACCAAGTTTTACACTAAACATTGTTGATAAGCTATTGTACTGAGTAGTTCCCTCTTTCATCTGAAAAGGAGACAGCGAAAGGACAAAATATGGGAATGCTGGAATGTGAATTCTAATGTCGTAATGAGCCTCAAGCTTATTTTTATTTCTTCATCTGAATGTGTGAATCCATTTACAGCTACTCATTGGAGACCAACAGGTGTTCACATTTTCTCGGATGGGAGGCGTTCCAGAAGATAGCATCGCTTGCTTTCGCTCTCGACTCTCCAGGGGATAAATCCCAGGACCCAGTGGTAAGAAGATGACACACTCCCTTCAGGAATCGGACAAAACGTGTTTTCGTAACCAGCACCGCCGGTAGGAGGTGTTGATTGGTCCGGCAATACCAATTTGTTGTGTATGACATACAGTAAAACCTGTCAAGGTGACCACTCGGATAAGGCGACCACCTGTCCTAGAAGACCACTGAACCCAGGACCAAGGGATGTGATTTCCAGTCAAATGACCCTGGTAACAGAGACCACGTTTTGATGGTCCCTTGAACGGTCGCTTTAGACAGGTCTCACTGTACAGTTAACTTTGCGTATAACGACACTCGGCCGGGCATCAGAAAAGTGTCCGTTATTCGCGAAGTGTCGTTATACCCAAAGTCTCATTATATGTATACAGTTAGATGAGACTTTGCTCTGGGCATGGAAATTCTGTCGTTATTCGCCAGTCGTCATTACAGTCAACTTCGCTTATAACGACACTCGGCGGGGCATCAGAAAACTGTCCTTATTCACAAAGTGTCCTTATACCCGAAGTCTCATTATATGTATTACAGTTGGATGGGACTTTGCTCTGGGCATTGAAATTATGTCGTTATTCGCGAATTGTCATTATATCCGCAGTCGTTATTAGCGAAGTTGACTGTACATGTAGTAATTGCACCTAATAAGGATACATGTACTATAAGGATACATGTACTATAAGGATACATGTACTATATAAGGATACATGTACTATAAGGATACATGTACTATAAGGATACATGTACTATATAAGGATACATGTACTATATAAGGATACATGTACTATATAAGGATACATGTACTATCCTTAGCAGTAAACAGGCGTTGGTGACCAACCAGTTGGTCTGGTGATGACCTGACCGACCGGACTGGTTCCGGCGCGCCTGTCGTTGTGATACTGGCGGAGTTCTGGGCAAGACAAGACCCATACACACATGCATGCACACACACACAAGCGACCCCCCCCCCCCCCCCCCCCCTGACGCACACTTGCAAGCACCAATTGATTTTGACTGTAATCGGAAACGAAAAGATTTTGCTTGGGGGGGGGGGGGGGGGGCGGGTTGCTTTTGAAAATAATTATTGAAATCACAAAGTACGAGTATGTAAATTTCACGACTTGTCGTCCAACACTTTAACCCATTGACTGCTGAGCCCGAATATATTCGGGATTCAGGATGACGTCAGGGCGCTGAGCCCGAATATACTCGGGCTGACAGGCTATCCTACCGTACTAAGCTCCGTGTTCCAGCGTAGGGTTGCAAGAGACCCCAGAGTTGAGCGGTACATTTCCTGCATTCAGTACGAGAGGATGCGGGTACAAATCCCGCTTGGATACTTTTTTTCTTCTTTTTCGTCCGGTGATTCAACTCAATTTGGCGACTTTTTCGTATTTTACGCAATTTGGATGAACTTATGTGTCATATAGCATTTTGTTCCCCTTTCTAGGAACTATATCGAGTTGGTCAGCGTGATGATTATAGCCTTGGTCAACATTTCACAAGAGTTCAACAACCTAGTTGTTTAGACTATGAAGTTGTGGAGCTTTACATTGACCCTATTTTTAGCATTTTCTTCAGAGCCTCAGATGAAAGGCCCTGTAGCCCTCAATGGGTTAAATCAATATTTGGATTATACTTCAATGTATTTCATTCTATCTGCAGAAAGAGGGTCGGTGGGAGAATAGTAAGTCCTTTCTTTTGGAAAAAAGAAACAATCGGTAGCCCCGAACGGCCCGGCACGTTAGGATTGAATAAAGTGAAACTCTGAGTTTAAGCACACCTTTCTGACGTCTGCTTTAGAAAACTGTGCCCCGGGTTGAGAACAGTGTTTGAGCAGTGAAAGTGTGGGTATTGAGCACTGTTTGAGCAGTGCAAGTGCAGGTTTTGAGCACTGTTTAAGCGGTGGAAGTCACCTAGCGCTTTGAAAATGTCTATGACAAGAAGACGGATATTGGGGAAGCGTTAAGTACAAGGGAATGGGAACATATCTTAAGTGTCACCATGCCAGAATTAAATACTGACAAGAATGCCTAGGCTAGAGTACAGTCGGTCATACTCCTTGGACTTCTTTTTGTTATAGTAGATATTTCAACGAGTCGTGATCAATTTCTGTCTTCGCTATGTTGGTTTACTGCAGGCTCAACTCGTTGAGATTTTCAGCTCCACATTTATCATTCTCATTAAGGACTCGTGTTCTTCAAACCTGCTCTCATCCGCTCAGGCACAGTCACTGCTAGCATTCACGCTGGAAGACACCCCAGCTGTGGAAACGTACCAGTCACAGGATGTGCCCATCATGGATCTGGATATTAACATTACGAGTCTTCGCTACACGGCCGCCAATTGCGGCAACAGAAATATAAGTCGGAATGGCTGCCGAACTCTGCAGGATCTACTTGATATTCTCCACGATACGGATCCCGACGGGCAGAACATGACGCTGCTGCAGCTAGCCCGCTTTTCGCTGAGCGGCGAGCGTGTTCCCCTCACAAGCTCAAGCCTGTCAGAGCCAGCAGTCAAGGATATGCTTCTGCCGTCCTCCAGTCGCGACTGCCTCGCCATCTCACCGACGTTCTCCGTGTTCCGCGTGCTGCACATGAGCGCCTGGGCCTCGAGTACTCTGTTCAACAACGTAAATGAATACCCGTACTTCTTCCGAGGAGTGCCGTCCGACGATCATCAGGCAGTCGCCCTGGCAGATCTCATCGAGGAGTTTGGCTTCCAGTACATAGTCCTGCTTGGTGGAGCAGACGAGGTGTACAGTGGACCAGGTTTCAAGTTGTTGCGGGAGGAGGCGTTCCGTCGTGGGACGTTCTGCTTGGCCGTGCAGGCGCGATTCTCGGCGGACGACCCGATCTCCATACGGTCGGCCATCGCACAGATCCGGAACAACCCGGAGGCGCGCGCCATGGTCGTATTCGCCACCATGGCCGACGGAGCGGCACTGCTGCACGCGCTCGGTCGACAAAATGTCACCGGTCGCATCCTGCTGGGTAGCGAGGACTGGTTGAATCGAGTTGACTTCAGCGCGTTTTCCAACACAGTCCTGTCCATGCCAATATTTGGCTACTACCCCGACCCAAGCGCCGTCTTTCTACATTCGGGACCCAGTGACGTTGTAGTGAAAGCTACGTTTGGATCTACGGACTTCATACTGGGAATGGCCGCGTTGGAACTCGGACGTCTCTACATCGAGCAGGAGGGAGATTGTACATTTCCAAACCCACTGCGCTGCGAGAACCAATCACGGGCTGACGTTAAGCAGTGCTCGCACGACACCGTGGCGCGTTTCCCGCGCCGACAGCCCACCATGGCGATGCCGATGATCCGGCTGCTGAGTCTGTACACCAACATATCGGTGGTGATGGACGTGGAGAGGCCGTTCTGCGAGCAGGGCGACTGCACCGTGGTTCTCGGCAGGGTGCCCGCGGACGGGCTGCGCCGCGCCATGCGAGAGTTCACAGTGCCGTGCCGTTTTCACAACGGAACGCGGCGCGCCCCCTGCCACACGTTCACCGACACCCAAGCGGCGTACCCCGCCTACTCGCTTCGTATGCTGAGTGTGCCGACGGCAGGTGCTGTTGGTACTGGTACTGGACTGCCAAGTCTACAGGCTATTGCAAACTGGGACGGCTTTGCTGGACCGGATCGGATTACGCGCCTGACCTGGCTCAGATCTGCCTGTATCCAGTTCGGTGTGGGCGAGTGCATCAATATGCACGACAGGCGCCAGAGTGGTGAAGAAAAGCAAACTTCGAAAGCATCCGGTATTCCTCTCTCCGCGTGCAGTGCACCATGCAACCCGGGGACTTTCCTGATTCCCTCCGCCGATCCGATGAGGTTTTGCTGTTGGCGCTGCGTAGAGTGTGCGCCTGGTCAAATCAGTAGCTCTGTGAACGCCAAGAACTGCAGCGCCTGCGCCACTGGACTTATTGCCAACGGTGCAAGAACAGAGTGTGTCATGCCGAGGATAGAATGTTTCCCCTGGAGTTCCCACTGGACAGGCTTTTTGATTGCCTGGAGTGTGATCACATGCGTTTTCTCCGTAACGAGTTTGGTGTACTTCATACGCTACCACAAAACTCCGGCAATCCGCGCCGCTAATCTGCCCCATATGATAATCATTATGCTGACGCCAATCCTCTCCAGCATCGTACACTGGTCATTTCTGCACTCGTCACGCAGCTCCGATCTCGTGTGCACTCTCGAGCGCGAGTCCGCGTACTCCGTACCGACGCTGGGCTTCATCGCTCTCATGATGAAGACGAACCGCATGCGCCATCTGTTCAACACCTTGCAACTAGTCACGGCTAGTCGATGGCGCCGCTGGCTGGTGTCTGCATCCGGTCAAGTCCTGCTCGTCTTAGTCTTGTTCCTTGTCGCGAACGCACTCAGCTCAGTGCCATCATTCCTCTATCCGCCAACTGCTAAACTTGTCCTCGTGAGCGCGGACGCAGCCACGTACGTTTGTGAGCCGAATTTTACGGCCGAGATATTCTCCCTCGTGCCACTGTCGATATTTGTGATCGTGACGGCGGTGCTGGTCTTTCAAACTCGCAACCTGCCGGACGAGTACAACGACTCGAAGCTAATACTACTGGTGTGCGCTGTGGACTTTGGCGCTTGTTTGGTGTTCGCGGTTGTGTATTATAACGACGAGGTGTTCCGACCAGTAGTCGTGCTCCTGCTCGGCCTGTGGATGAGCACGAGCTTTTCGGTCATACTGTGTGCGCCACGTATCTACTGGCATCGCTACGGTTACGCTCATCCGAGAGAACGGCCCGGCAGCAGAGCCTACAGGGCTAGCATGGACACCAGCAGTTATCATCGCAATAGCGACCTACACATGTCCACCTCTCGCCAGCAATCGGCACGATCCAGTTCCCAGGATGCGAGGAGATCGTCTCAGTATATAACCGAGCCGCCGAGCCGCCTGGAATCCCTGCAAGGTTCTTTCCGTGAAAACAGTCCCATGGAAAACGGTCATGACCACGCATCATCCCGTCACAGCAGTACAGTGTTGCCAATGGTGACCAGGATATTAGCGCAGGCAGACACATCGAGTAAGGAAACCATCGTTGAGAGTAGCCATACCAGTAGCAGCAGTAGCAGCAGACGCAACACTCGCACTAGCGACAACAGCAGCAATAGCTTCAGTGGAAACAATGGTGGTTGCCAACCAAATTCGTCGGCAGACCCGGAACCTGAGGGTGGTGAGTAGGTAAACTCGGAATGGCCGAAGCGTGAGTTGGAGACATTCTGTGTGACGACAACAGTGATGTAGACGTGATAGCATTGTCATCATTGTTTTCTAAACCCTCACTTCCATCACATTGATCTTTCACCTGACATTGTAACGCACATGAGACAACCAGAGTGGCGAGTAGGTGGAGTCGGAATGTCTTAGCCTGAGCTCGAGCCATCCTGCGTAGTAGACTTGACAGCATTGTTATCGCTTTCCTCAGGGTGTGCCTTTTTATCCTTGTTTTCTACACCCTCACTGCTGTAACATTGATTCACATGCGATGTATGTGAGACAAGTCATCCAACTTCATCCAAGAGCAGCCCGTGCCTATAAAGACCATAATTATTGCGTTTCATTTAATTTTTTTCATAATTCGGAGGGCAAGCACAGCTTTCGGCTTGGTATAAATTAAAATATTGTTAGCATATATTATGGCATAATACCCCCCCCCCCCCCCCCCAATGCTCGCCTTCTTCTGTGATCCCGCAGTAAAACTAATTTTTAAAATTGCTAAATAGAAAGAAATGTACATGCATATACTGTGGGCGCTGTGCGAGTGTAATGCCCTATATAGGGCCTCCGTGTAGCACATAATATTATGATAAACGGAGCGTTCCGAATCTCTTTCCAACTGTAAAGTTTCGCAGAGGATGTATTTTTCCTACAATGCATAATATCAGTTTCTCAGGGTGCGGCCAACATTCCCTCGTTGTTTCAGTTATGTGTGTTTTTCTACTTGTTGCTTGTATTAAATTTTCTATTTCTTTTCTTTCGTTCTTTGCCAAGCCCAGAGATGTTTGCACATAACAATATCATCACAATATTCGTAAAGAGAGAGAGTGAAGGAACAAGAACAAAGAAACAACCTCATTACAACCGGCAATGCTCTTTGCTGCTGTGTGATATTTGCCTTGTCCTCCAGCATGTGTATGCCCACCCCTTTGGATACTTTGAGGTCTTTCCTGCTTCTTTTCACACCAAAACGGCGCAGATTCGATCGAATATGAGTGAATTACAGCTTGTTGAAGTCATGGACGGATAGTCGTCGAGTCTTGACTGGCCGATCGTATAATGGTTAAAGGGGAAGTTAAGGCAAAAATCAAATTTTCACCAGTTGTAGTCTTCGGGGTGCTGAGTCGAATGGTCTTGGTCCGAGGAAGCTGAGACGCTCCCTTCCTACTTGAATCCCAATCGAACTCGCGCACTTCCACTGAAACTGGGTGACTGCGCCCTGCTAGATGGGGATTTGTATGTAAAATGTCACTAAAAGCGCCATTTCGTTCTTATAAAAGCACGGATGACCGCGATTGGCCCATATGTTGTAGTCTTTTGGACGCTGAGTCGACTGGTTTTGGTCCGAAAAGGCTGCGATGCAGCGTTCCTCTTTTATTCCCAATCGAGCATGGTTGAACAAGCGGTCACGTGCTCCTGCGTACACCAGTCACCTGGTCACCGTGCCTGCAGGGTACAACTTACTAGCCTGTTTGACCTTTTTTGGGTGCAGTCCTGTCACTCGAGTTGAACTCTAGTTGAACCTTGGTGTGAAAGTTGTCGCCTGCTGGCGCGGTGACCAGGTGATTTGGGCACCCAGAAGCACGTGACCGCTTGTTCAACCATGTTCGATTGGGAATAAAGGAGGAACGCTGCATCGCAGCCTTTTCGGACCAAAACCAGTCGACTCAGCGTCCAAAAGACTACAACATATGGGCCAATCGCGGTCATCCGTGCTTTTATAAGAACGAAACGGCGCTTTTAGTGACATTTTGCATACAAATCCCCATCTAGTAGGGCGCAGTCACCCAGTTTCGGTGGAAGTGCGCGAGTTCGATTGGGATTCAAGTAGGAAGGGAGCGTCGCAGCTTCCTCGGACCAAGACCATTCGACTCAGCACCCCGAAGACTACAACTGGTGAAAATTTGATTTTAGGGTATACTTCCCCTTTAAAGGGGAAGTTAAGGCAAAAATCAAAATTGCACCAGTTGTAGTCTTCGGGGTGCTGAGTCGAATGGTCTTGGTCCGAGAAAGCTGAGGCGCTCCCTTCCGACTTGAATCCCAATCGAACTCGCGCCCTTCCACCGAAACTGGGTGACTGCGCCCTACTAGATGGGGATTTGTATGCAAAATGTCACTAAAAGCGCCATTTCGTTCTTATAAAAGCACGGATGACCGCGATTGGCCCATATGTTGTAGTCTTTTGGGCGCTGAGTCGACTGGTTTGGGTCCGAAAAGGCTGCGATGCAGCGTTCCTCCTTTATTCCCAATCGAACATGGTTGAACAAGCAGTCACGTGCTCCTGGGTGCCCAAAATCACCTGGTCACCATGCCAGCAGGCGACAACTTTCACACCAAGGTTCAACTCGAGTTCAACTCGAGTGACAGGACTGGATCCAAAAAAGGTCAAACAGGCTAGTAAGTTGTACCCTGCACGCACAGTGACCAGGTGACTGTTGTACGCAGGAGCACGTGACTGCTTGTTCAACCATGTTCGATTGGGAATAAAGGAGGAAAGCCGCATCGCAGCCTTTTCGGACCAAAACCAGTCGACTCAGCGTCCAAAAGACTACAACATATGGGCCAATCCTGGTCATCCATGCTTTTATAAGAACGAAATGGCGCTTTTAGTGACATTTTGCATACAAATCCCCATCTAGTAGGGCGCAGTCACCCAGTTTCGGTGGAAGTGCGCGAGGTCGATTGGGATTAAAGTAGGAAAGGAGCGTCTCAGCTTCCTCGGACCACGATCATTCGACTCAGCACCCCGGAGACTACAACTGGTGAAATTTTGATTTTTGCCTTAACTTCCCCTTCAACACTTCAAGTTGGCCTGCACATTGAATACAATTATTATTGTTCTAGCTACATGTAGGTTCAACTCGGATGGTGAGCCAATTTATTAAAATTACGGTGAAAAAGGAGAAGGACAAAATGTTACGAGTTGTGACTAACTGTCCACCAACGTAACCAGATCTACAGTCAGCGAGTGCGACAAAATGGCACAAAACTGACGAGGAGTACTGAGACATTCGGCGACCTCGAGACGTCCGGCGATGATAGTGGAGTTCAGTAGGATGTTGACGTTTCGGTTTGTCACAATTCGTCTTCGCTTAGCTTCCCCTTTCTACGTTTATTACATAAACTTGAGCCTCCCAAGTTGGGTGGTCTGTTGCTTTGCGTCGTCGAGTTGTAGTAAGGCCGGCTTGTCCAAATCCCATTGTCTTACTAATTTCGTCATCATTCCAGTAACTTTCGGCATTCCTTGTTGCCGTCATGCGTAGCTCATGCTCTTCTTCGTTGCGCTTTCCTTCCCCTCTTGGACCTTTCCAAACCTGAGCCTTCCAAGTTGGCAGGTTGTTGGTTTGCGCCTTGGAGAAGTGTTGGAGCTAGGTGTCAGGTCGCCGAATGTCTCAGTACTCCTTGTCAGTTTTGTGCCATTTTGTCACAATCGCTGACTGTATAAGATCTGGTTACGTTGGTGGACAGTTAAAGTCATAACTCGTAACATTTTGTCCTTCTCCTTTTTCTAGCTAGGTGTCAGTTGTTTGAATGTCTCAACACTCCTCCTAGTCAGTAGGGTCCAGCTGATATTGCTCCGAAAATGTTCGTATAATGCTCCAAAAACTACCTGATAATGCTGATTATAATGCTCCAACAAGGGCTATAATGCTCTTGGTTTGGGACAAAAATGGAAGAAAGGCTGCACATTGTCAAACTTCCAGGAAAGGATGTATATAGTCAATCTGCCTCTGAAGCTGCTGCAATATCTCTCACGAGCTCCACCACTTCTTAGCACTATAAGACATGATCACGTCTCCATTGGCTGCTCTCCATTGCAACTTTGATGCAGGGCTGTAGCTGAATAGTGGGTGTATCAAATCTTTTCCCTTGCTTATCCATGAAGTGGGATGTGAGACCATTATTGCTGGTGATCAATTGGATGCTGGAAGCTTATCATGGGAAGTGATATTCCTGCCTGCAGACAAGCTGTCACTGCTTCCACTCCGTGAACAATGTCTTCATCTGAAACAGCTTACGTCAAGCAAGTTCCCGAGGGACGATCTCAGATCGAGATCCCTCCCATTTGCGGAAATCCTGAACACACGTGGTCAGAAGTTATTTTGCCGCTCTACACCCTCTGCTTGCGCTGTCTTCTTCTCCTGAGGCTGCGTGGAGACAAATAGTTGGCCACAATACCCTTCTTTTCTGATAGCACTTGACTATAGGCCTTGCATTACAATCGTCCACGACGAACTGTACGTGCTTCACCAGGAAAGTAAAACATGCGCTGCTGAGCACTCAAATCAACTTGGTGCTTCGTCCATGAGAAATTCTAGTTCTTTTCGAGCCTGCTGAGCTGGACTCGGCAAAGGCAGTTATTAATTTTGGAGCAAGCTCTATCCGTTTATAGCCGCTCCTTCGTGCAGGTCCAAATTTGTGTCAATGGATTAGTGTTTACTTCAGTATCGCTAGACATGCGATGGCCAGAGCCTATGGCATAACACATTATTTTTATTAACCCTTTGAGAGCCGACCCATACTTGAATGTGTAGAATTCTACACACTCGACTGTGAGACTTCAACTGGCCGTAACTCGGTCAAAACTAGCTCAAATTCAACGATCCAAATATCTACCTCGAAGAGAAAACTCTCAGCGTGCCGTAGAACCCATCCGCGACGCGCTGCGATCAACGGTTCTTGAAATAAATCGCTCGTAAGTTCAGCCGCGATCGCGGCACTTGAAAAGCGTGGGAGTGCAACTCGAAATTTGAGAATTTTGAGACTTTTCCTCGCGCTGAGTTACTCCAATTTGCGTGGGTTTCACTGGTAGTATTTCCAAGGGTACACAGCGAAAAAATCGAAACTCTGCGATCAAGAAAAATGAAAATGCTGGAGCAGGACGAAGGTGCACGCATTTCAAGCAGTTTTCGCTAGTTCGCTGCTCTCCGGCGCTGGATATATGGCGTCCTGGTCATCATGCGTGACCTCAGTCTCTTCCTCTCGCGGAGACCTTTCCAGGAAGCCCAAGATTGTGAAGATTGAGTGAGTAGAACTGAAGTTACGTCCCAAAGAACATGAAAATATGCAGAATTTTGAAATTTTCAATCGGCTCTCAAAGGGTTAACAGGAAACTCCTCTTCCTCTGTTTGATATTCACTTCGCGTAGATCTACGTAGTCTCCATGGCTCTCCATGAATTCTAAAAAATCCTCGTATTAAAATCATCGTTACGGATTTTGTGCACTTCGAAGCATAAACAGCCTCAGTTGCAACGTTGGGCATGCTACATCACAAGTACATTTACATGACATTGCTACATAAAGACTTTATGTAGCAATGACATTACTGTATGTAGTCTGGTAAATGTAGCGCTAAAGCTAGTATTAAAAGGTGTTACGTGTGACGGTGTCTACACTCACAGTCACAAAGTCATTTGCCGGTACAATACATGGCGTTGCACCTCATGCAGTCATGGCGTTAGCCGATTGTTGCCAAAAACCATGAGATTTCCCGACAGTATCCACTATAAAACTCGTCATGCCGCTCAAACCTGACATAATGCTCGTCTTGTTCCTTCCTAATGCTCCTTATTGCTCTAATGCTCGGATAGTCTTATAATGCCGAATATAATGCCGGCATTATCCGCTGGACCCTACCCGATGGACGAGATGTTGCCGGCAGGTGGGCCGTCAGGAATGGCCTTAGCGCTTCGCGGCCGGAGGCGCAGAGCATCTCGAGCGCTGGGATGTGCCCCCCCCCCCCCCCCCCACACACACCCCACGAGCCACTGTTCATGCAAGGACTTAGGTGGACACAGACCAGACCCGCGTAGACTACCCTGTAGTGTTGGTGTGAAAATACTCTCTCCCTCTCCCTTCCTCTTGAGTCTTGCGTGTGGACTACACCATGCCACATCTCCGTTGATCTTCACCACAGACGAGAACAGGCCGAAAGGAGGCGAAACATAGTCCGCACGAAAATGAAACTCGGCATCACACACTGTCGCTTCGATGACAGGTTTCCTGACGGTAGAATCGCCATAAGAGAGGGAGGGGGGGGGGGGGGGGGGGGGTGGGGGGATCATAGCAGACTAGCTTCCATCACAATCATTACATTATTTTGGTCATGTAGATCTACCTGATCTACAGTATCGAGCTCTACGCTCACGATCACCACACATGAGTCCGTCTGTTGATGGGTAGTAAAAAGCTTTTACGACTCCCTCGGCCTGAACCTGGTTAGCACCTGCAGGCGCGCACAGTACTACTACTAGTGCATGAGGGACCACCGCTCAACACATTTGGTCATTTTGGGACCAGAAAGCAGTGAGTTCAAACAAGCAGTAGGTCTACCTGGTCTACTCACCCTCGAGCCTCACCTAGTACTAGCCTAGCAGTGAGCTTGCACGAGAACCCCAGACAGCACATAGCACGCAGTAGACTACATGACGAGTCAGCAGAATGTTTTTGCGATAATTTGAATTTAATAGGGCTTGAAAGTGCTACGTCACTCCATAGCAATGGCATAGCAACAATTTGAAAAATTCGAAAACTGGATCCACCTGGATCCAGTTTTTGTATGGATCCAAGCACATTTCAAGCGGTCTCACTCACAGCAAGGTGATGTTGCCAGTGAAACTGACTGATTTGGCTAGTGGGGGCGGGGTGACAACTGGTGGCGAAGTAAAAGTTGCACCTGCATACGACATGAGTGGGTTGCTATGCACCCACATACTGAGGCAATAGCAAAGTCACACCTTAGTGGATCCAAAATAGAAATCTGATGTCAATTTACTACTCCCAGGCCGTTTTTGACGTCATCACTTTCAAGCCCTATTATCATGGCGATGATATGAATAGTGACTGCAACCATCTTGTAAAATCTCAACGAGAAAGAAGGTTCGCAGACCCCCGTTGACTCATTCTGTACTGCAAATCTCGTCCTTGCCGGCTTGGCTCACTTTGTGCTTCACGAGGGTTGGCCTAGAACTTGAAGAAAAATGTTTGCCAAGCCAAGACAGCTATCGAGGCAAACATTTGACAGGCGTTTAGCGGCGCTGAACCGCCCCGAGCCTAGTTTTATCTCGGTGGTGGGCTAGTTCCTTCGGTGACAACTGGCGGAAATTGTCGCCAGAAGTGATTTCCGTGCTCAGCAGTTGTGCCAAGGATCGCGTACGAGCTAGTCAGCGGGCGCATGGTATTACGCTCAGCCATCCGTGTTTGGAGGAATGTCCGAGCAGCGAGTAAACAGACGACAGTTGCATATTCTGCATCATTCTAGTCCCGATGCGATACCCTCATGCACATCCAGTCAGACATGGTTGCCACATGCGAGTAGTCACGGATGCCACGTCGCAAGCCAGGCAAGTGACATTTCAGTCGTCGAAGAGCCGAAAGGAAGTTCAGGAAAAACGAGAGCAGGCAGCTGGCGGTTGTCCGAGGTGCCTTTGCGTTATTCAACTAGCTGCTTACGAGCAGAGTTGTCTGGTTGTTTCTGCGGAGCGGATCGGGAAGCGAGTGTGGCGCGGAGCATTCTATTGGAACAGCAGAATAGCAAGAGATCATCCATCGCACGGGTAAGAATGGTAGCATTACCGTATTTTTCGGAGTATAGTGCGCACCTTTGTATAACGCGCACCCCGAATCTTCATTGGGGGTGCGCACTTCAATCTTCACTGAAGTACATGCATTTCATATTCGGAGCATAGTGCGCACCTGCGATTTAGGGCCTAAAATAGCACATCTAAAGTGCGCACTATACTCCGGAAAATACGGTACACTTTATGATAGTTCTGCGGATTTGTTTGAAGAACCTAACGGTTTGCATGGCAGGTCAAGACATCCAAGTAGAGACACGACTCGGTACAGCGACAGAAAAGCAAGCGTGTGTAGGACAGGGTGGGGGGGGGGGGACTGTACGCGCCATTTGCTAGTACACACACATACACAAACAAACACACACACCACACACATGTGTACACATACACACATTCACAAACACACACACACACATGCACACACACATGCACACACACATGCACACACACACACACACACACACACACACACACGCACACACACACACACACATACGCATACACAAACAAAGACGTCCAGGCCCACGCACCGCGCTCAAGAGAACACAGCCATGCACACTCCACAACCAGTATTCTTTTGCACTAGTGTAAGCAGGGTTTAGCCCAAAACGAAACTACTTCCTCCGCCCAGGCAAAATTTTCGCTTATCTCCTTCAGCCCAATGTCAGGTGTCTGACAGCAATTTTTACATCGTGTGCACTTCACCATCATACAAATCTGCTGGTTCAGGCGTACCAGTTCCAAACATGTCGGCTAAGTCGCCAAGGAGTAAAGAAACACCTAGAGTAGAGCGAGTTGAAGGCGAGTGAACTGGTATAAAAAAACACGAGGTCAGTCACTGGTCAAGGTGGGTGCTGCTAGAGTACAGAGCAGAGGTGTCATGCTGCGAAAAGCCAGTGTGTTTGATTGCATCCGGCACAAGATGTGTGCGGTAAAAATGCACGTGAGCTTGAAGCTGAGAAAGCCACTCAGCGACGCTCGCCCACATACTGCAAAACTGAACCAGAACCGGTACTGGGCAAAACAGGGGGAAAGAAAGGCTTCGATGATAGGGTTGTCACTCACCCAGCTCATTCACCTGATGTCAAAGTGAACGATCCTGCAAAGTGACGCTGAGCTCGTCAGCTTCGGCTGGTAAGAAACACGACTGATCGTACTCATGAAGGAGGTGAAGCGCTTGGAAAAGTGTCGATACGAAATATTTGCGCTTCTGGAAAGTGCGAAGTACTACCCGACAACAAGTGCTGCGTCGGCTGATGACCAAGGATGACTTCCACATTTTTCGACTTGGATAATTTCTCTTGATGTTCAACGACTCCTCAACTCATTCTGAGTCGTTATAACCTGTTCTGAGAACCTTGAATGTATCAGTAAAAAGTGCAAAGACAAGCGAAAATTTTGCTTGGGCGGAGGAAGTAGTAGTCTGTCCCTCCAGGAAATCGCGATTCCACGGGTGCAACAAATTTCGAGTTGTTAGCCCAAACCCGCGATTTTGTGCAAAATCCTTTTGATTTTCCTCGTTTTGTTGTTGTTTTCTGCACTTTTTTTTACATCACTATGCGCTTTTCATGCAGTGCATGCTTTCCATCAACATGTTGATTATTTGCACAGTACGACTCGTACTACTCCCGAGTAGATCTACTGCGCAAATAGCGATTCTACGGATGCAACAGATTTCGTGATTAGGTCCAAATCAGCAATTTCCTTCAAATAATTCCGCGAATTCCTGGCAAGTTCCGCATCTTGCCGCACTTTTCGCCGCGGTTTTGTTGTTGTTTCCTGTCGCAACTTCTTGCGCAAGTTTTCAAGAACTTTTCCGCAAATTCCCGCAGGGACAGACTACTAGGACAGTAGTTGGCTCTAACCAGTTTATTGACACTCATCTTTTCCAATATTGTCTGCTGAATAGAAAAGCAACTTTTAATTAACCCTTTCCGTGCTAATGACGCCTATGGACGTCATGCGCGCTGTACGCCAAATGACTAATGACGTCTAAAGACGTCATGAGATTTGCGCAGTACATCGCGGTGCATAGATCAGTGTACAAACTTTCGTAACTCCGTCAAAAATAAGTCTATCGTGACAATCGATACACCGTTGGAATTGGAAAGGTATTGAGCTCAGCTGTCCAGTTCTTCGCGATAGGAAAAGGATTGACGGAGCAGCGACGGTGTGAACACGGAATTTACGGCACTGAGCGATCGTGAATTTTTTGTTCATGCATTCACAGTTTTCTGTTGCCTGCCAGGGGATTTCCCTTTGGCACAGCGCATGCGTAATGGACACCAGCGAAAGCACGTGGATCTCAGCTTTGCAGAGCAGTTTGAATCGTGAAAATCGGCTGAACTGGAACAAGAAACCGAAAAAGAATGTGAGATCGAGTTGCTGTGCCTTTCCGAGGCATCGTGAAGTAGTTTCGAGAGGCCATAGCAGTTGCACCGCCCTGCATATTGAGACGAGAGCTACCAGGATGGATTCGCTTGGTTGTGATCTTTCCAACAAGCCCAGGATGACGAAAATCCATCAAGGTGAACTGAATTGAGAGAAAAATTCGTTCGGACCTATTCGCGAAAACGTCACCAGGAGAGTGCCCTGGAAAGGCAGTTTGCTGGAGTAAAAGAGGTCAGCACGGAAAGGGTTAAAGAAGGGTTTATGCCACACCCCAAAGTTGTGTAGTAAGAAATATTCATAAAAGTATTATTATTAGTATCACCAATTACTCTATGCATTCGGGTGGACAGGTATACTCATAAAGGTCGTCAAAGTTGAAACTAGGAAAGTCTAAACTCAGGCGGCAAGGTAGTTGTTTGAAGGATTCCATGAAATCGTCACTCTAAGTGCAGTAGCTGCACCATGGTCGCAAAGATTCAAGGAACTGTCTCATATCCTGGCCAGTTGGATATGCCAGCTTCCCCACATAGTCGAGGCTTCCACGAACGGTAAACCAAGTTTCCGGCATCGGTAAGATCCAAAATCAACAGCTAAGAACTAGGGGTGTGCACGGGTAGTCGGGCACCCGTGCTGCCCGTGAGGACCTCGGGTAGACGGGTACAGAATCGTACCCGAAAACCCGAAGTCGCAGATGACATCATGTACAGTGCACGTGTACAAGTTCATGTAATACTCCGCATGTCTACCCAGTGTGTAAGGGAAGGGGTGCATTGTGGTGTTACCATGGAAACATTACTTGATCAGGTACCCGTGCTACCCGTGGAAAACTACACCAACCCGATACCCGAAGAAAATGTTACCCGACTCAGCCCTGCTAAGAACGAGCCAAAGCACTTGAACAAAAACCGACCTCGTGTGATGAGACGGACAAAATTATCGTTTTTTTCTGGTCGATTTTGAAAGTTTGCATATTTCCTGATCCTGTCTCTGCTGTAGGCTTTAGTCTGTCGTCATCACTCAGGCTGACTACAAGCGAAGCATGCACGCCAACCATCACGCCATCCATGCTGCGTTCGCCCTGCTGACCCTTGCTTTGCATCACGGAGGTAGGTCTCTAGTACACGTAATGCCTGGGTTTGACAGCCGTACCGACCGACACCATATTGTTCCCCCGGTACTATGTACAGCTAGAGACCCGATGGATGAGTTGTTGCCGGCAGGTGGGCCATCAAGAATGGCCTTAGCGCTTCGCGGCCGGAGGTGCAGAGTACCCCGAACACTGGGATTTATATCATAATATTAACTTTCAACGCACGCAGCCGCAGCTAGTCACTGGCAAAACAAAAGAAAGGAGGATTAAACCCTTCTCGAAATTTCTCCAAAATTGAAGGATTTGGAGAAATCTGGAGGTTTTTTCTTCTTCTTTTTGATGTGCACGGTTGTGTGCGTTGAAAGTTCATGATGAGGCTACAGAGGAGTTATGCCATTCTCATTAATCGTTACACCATCACAAGCCGAGTTGCTATTGACTTGCGAAAAGTGCTCGATCCCGTGAGGGCAGAGCCAAATGACACAAGTCCTCAATGGAACAAGGCAATCTGTTGCTCCTGCTCCGATTGTCATGGCTATTCACTAATCTTCAGGTATCAATACTAGTGGTATAGTACCTGTCACAACCCTTACCACTACACTAGGCATGTACTCTTGATAATAGTGATTATGTCATCCAATAGGGCTTGAAAGTGATGACGTCAAAAACGGCCTGGGAGTAGTAACTTGACATCGGATTTCTATTTTGGATCCACTAAGGTGTGACTTTGCTATTGCCTCAGTATGTGGGTGCATAGCAACCCACTCATGTCGTATGCAGGTGCGACTTTTACTTCGCCACCAGTTGTCACCCTGCCCCCAATAGGGCTTGAAAGTGATGACGTCAAAAACGACCTGGGAGTAGTAAGTTGACATCAGATTTCTATTTTGGATCCACTAAGGTGTGACTTTGCTATTGCCTCAGTATGTGGGTGCATAGCAACCCACTCATGTCGTATGCAGGTGCGACTTTTACTTCGCCACCAGATGTCACCCCGCCCCCAATAGCTGAATCAGTCAGTTTCACTGGCTACATCACCTTGCTGTGACGCAGACCGCTTGAACTGTGCTTGGATCCATACAAACAATGGATCCAAGTGGATCCAGCTTTTGAATTTTTCAAATTGTTGCTATGCCATTGCTATGCTGTGACGTAGCGCTTTCAAGCCCCATTGCGGCTTGTGGACTTCAGAGCTGTGCAACATGCTCGAAACCATCCCGTATCGGACGGACTGTTCATGAGTACAGCCGTAGAGGGTTGTACTGGCGGTAAATGTATACTGCATACCACAGTGCAAACGGTGTGCCTGAGGTCTGCTATGGTAAACGTATACTGCATTGAAACACCTTAGTACCGTACTCACACGCCTAAAGGGGCACGCACTTACATTCTAATAAAAGGGCACATCCACATATAAAAGCATGAAAAAAAACACAAGACCCAAGAGTGTATTTCGAAGACTAGAATACTCGTACTGAAAGACATGCCCTTGTATGCGGAACATTTGTTTCCTGGCGAAATGGAGAAAAAAATGCATTTTTCGCATATAAGGGCATGGACTTGTACGTGAGTAAATACAGTATAAACATGGCTGGGTACAACGTGTACAATTGAGCTTAACGTAATACTCCGCTGGAATCTGAAATACTGGTATACCATGCCCAGGCGCAGGGTACACATATTGTGATGTAACACTGCCGCAAGTACATTTCTACTGGTGTGCTATTTGCCAAAATCATTATCCTTGGCACTCAGAGTTTGTGGCGTGGTACTTATTTCATGTTGTCTCCTGTTCTCTGCATACAGTTCAGGGGCAGTCTCTGGGAGCACCCACAGTCGAATCGGCCAGCCTGGGCATTCTCGTCGAGGGCAGGAGCAGCGTAAACGCGAGCATCAACTGCCACACAACCGTTACGGGGAGCAGCGATGAGTTTGTCCTGCAATGGTTCCGTAACAACGAATCCGTGACGGCACAACAGGAAGAATTTTCACCAACAGGTGCTGCAGTACGTTTCTTTTCGAACAACCTGAATTTGAACGACGGCGATGGTGTCTGGTTGGAAAACGACTCGGCCACGTACACGTGTATTTTGATGGACAAGACCGCTGATCTGAAATCGGCGCCCACCGTGTTTCGCTTAGTCGTCAATGGTACGTGCGCATGGAATGTTCCTAAATTGTATGCAAGCACCAACACCGGTTTTATTCGGTGGACCGGTGCAACTGATCCCGACTCATCTTGAGCATACAGTAGAACTTGTCAAGGCGACCACTCGGATAAGGCGTCCACCTGTTCTAGAAACCCACTGCAACCAGGACCAAGGGGTGCTATTTCTAGTCAAGTGACCCTGGATAAGGAGACCACCTGGTAACAGAGACCACAGTGTGAAGGTCCCTTGAGCGGTCGTGTTAGACGGATTTCACTGTATGCCGAAGTGCTAAATTCGGTTTGCGATAAGTCAGCAATAGTTGTTTGCTATCGTGCACTGTCATTGCCCGATCGTACAGCATATCAGAGTGTAATCACTAGATACATGCCCCCCCCCCCCCCGATCAAACCACGGGCCATGTAGGGGATTCTCCCTTGCATCATGTACCCTGATTGTCCAAGTGTACAGCACAGGAGAGTGCAATGACCAGCTGCATGTCCCCCCCCCCCACACCCCCCCCCCCCCCCCACACACACACCCCGTCCCCCAACCAAACCGTGGGCCAATCAGGGGACATTACCTCTTGACACAAATGCGGGCGACTTAAAATATCAATGTGCTTTCTTTTTCACAGGGTTCAGAAGCATGCATGCTCACTTGTGGAGTAGTTTGCAGTCAGGATGCACACCATATTCCACATGTGAAACAGAGCTCCAGACGGGCACACGTTTGGTGGCATTACCAGCACACGAATTCGTATGATAGCACTTTGCAAGGATAGACTTGGATGGAGAGCCAATGATTAATTTCTAGCAAAGAAAAGGACCAAGAAACTACGAGTTACGCTATACTTTCCACTAACACCAACAGTTCCTTGACAATCAGTTCATGCGATAACTCATAGCTCATGTTATCGCATGAGCTGATTGTCAAGTAACTGTTGGTGTAAGTGAACAATATAACACAACTTGTACTTCCTTGGTCCTTTTCTCTATTATTTTGCTTTGCGGGTTGCTTTTGGTTCAATGCTGTGCGAAGGTGTGTTGCTTTCCGTTCAGTGCTGTGCGTGTCCGTGTTGCTGTTGGTTCCATGCTGTGCGTGTCTGTGTTGCTGTTGGTTCAATGCTGTGCGTGTCTGTGTGGCTGTTGGTTCAATGCTGTGCGTGTCTGTGTTGCTGTTGGTTCAATGCTGTGCGTGTCTGTGTTGCTGTTGGTTCAATGCTGTGCGTGTCTGTATGGCTGTTGGTTCAATGCTGTGCGTGTCTGTGTTGCTGTTGGTTCAATGCTGTGTTGGTCTGTGTTCTCTTTGCCGGGTGCATTGTTTGTGATCTGCAGTACCGGCAGAGGTTTTGAACATCTCTGCAACAAGTGCAATCCTAGGCCAGGACCTCATACTGACCTGCAACACACGTGGTACTTCGCCATTGAACGTGAGCCAGGCTTTCCTATCTCTTTCTCTTCGCTTTACATTAGCCGCATCCTATAGTATAGGTGGACATGATTAGAGCTGCTTGAAGTTTTCAAAGCCAGAGAACGAATAAGAAAAGTTGCACATATGTGTGGGGGCACTGGGGGAGCAAGTTGGGACAAAGGGAGGAATGGGGGCAGGGGAGGGAACCCAGTGGGGGCAGGGGAGGGGACCCAGTGGGGGCAGGGGGGACCCAGTGGGGGCAGGGGGGGGGGGACCCAGTGGGGACAGGGGAGCAAGTGGGGACAGAGGTAGGGGCAGGGTATGACATTCTATCCTCAGTGGCGTTGATGCGTTATTGGGTATCTAACTACGTTCATCAGCAGTAGTCGTTGCGGAGTGCGCAAACTGAAATCTGATCTTTACGGCGTCAAAATGAAGCCTCCTGGTAGCATTCACAACTGTTCTTCCCTATGCGGAACCGAGTGAGTTGCATTACAAGATCTTCCGGTCTGCCCATAATTGTGCTTCACAGTACACGTGGACTCTGCCGAACGGTACTCTGTACCATCGGCAAACCCTGACGGTGGCTAGCGTGCAGAGCACGGACGGCGGACGCTACTCGTGCAAAGTTCAGAATGGCTTCGGCTTGCAAATAGAGCCCATTGACATCCCAGTGCTGGGTAAGACTAGACTGTTATCGCACCCTGCTGGTATTCTTCTGGGCAAGATAGATGAGCATGAACAGGGGCGTGCTCGGCCCCCCAACTAGGGGGTGCACGGGAGCCGAGGGGAGCCCCCCCCCGGCAATTTTCTGCAATTTGTTTGCAACCTTTCTTGAATTTTAGAGCATATTTGCATACATTACCATTGCAATTACCCAGATTAAAAATTTTTGGGGGGTGCACGTGCCCCCCGTGCCCATCGCCGAGCACGCGCCTGATGAAGAGGACATTTTGGTTACAGAACATTATCCTGGGTTATAGAGGAGGGTTTCTTTATTTTTTTCTTTATAATAATTTTTTTCACTGAATACCACACAGAACCATCAGATGCTGCACAGCGGGGATGCTGGTGTGTGCAACATTTAAAGTGCACCTCTCAAAGATTTATTTTCGTGGTCACTGTGGAGAACGTTCAGTACCTCCTTCCTCTGATTCCTTAGCGCTTGGGTACCATTTCGTGAGCTTGACAAAACACCGCAGTCGAACACTTCAACATGATTATTATTATTATTATTATTTGTGCTCCCGCGTCAATGGGCTCGCCCAAATTCGCTTGCACCGAACCATGCGAAAAAAGGCCGCCAGCAGGCAGGCAGGCAAAGAAAAATAGAAAATGGTGTCACATAAACTAATACAAACAAGAATATCATTATTGATGACATTAATATACTGAATGAATGGCAAGGCCATGTGAATACGGATAATACGGATAATCAGAGTACCAAAAACAAAGAATGTAGCTGAAACCATTGCAGTGCCAACTTCCTTCACCAGTACTCTGCCTTGTACGCATCTGTAACTGCGTTGCACAGATATGTCCATTCACGGCGATCCAGTGCTCGCTGAGCCATCAGCTGCAAGTCCCTTGGAGTCCTCAGACGGCAGCCGACTCGCTCCGCGTCTTGATTCAGCAGGACCGGTAGCGTGATCCGCGGCCGCCCACGGTATCCCGGCACGGAGCAGCCAAAGAATCCACTCATGGCCTCCCTAGCCGGTGTGTGCTCATCTGATCGCAGGATGTGGCCGAACAACCGCCATCTTGCATTCACCAGAATGTTGCCAAGTGGAGCAGCACTGCAGCGCTCGTAAACCAAATCGTTTGACAGT